CTGTTTCATTATAGCTGTGTTGTCCCTGTTTCTATTATTCTGCTGCTTATTTTGCCTTTAACTTGCTTCCACCTTTTCTTTGTGTAACCTTCTACTGGTGTTATGCTTCCCTCTGTTTTTTAAATATTGCTTTTATTATTTATTTTCTGTGTGAAATAAAGATAGATCTCTCTTTCATGTGTATGGAAGCTTATTGGTTACATTGAAAGTAAAAGAAGACCCACTCCACTGGGGTTCCACTCTGCAGGATATGCCATAGGAATACCATGCAAATGAGAGAAGTCATTCATGCTAAGTAACTGTCTTCTTTCTTTTTTCAGCATTTGGTGTGAGTGATTTCTTGTGATTGATCACATATTTACCTTCAGAAGTAAAATTTTTACCTTGATGATGCAATTTTGATATCAGAGTGAGATTTGAGGAAATAAGCAGGATAGTTGCTTGTTTGTATGGAGAATGTTCTCTCTCTCTCTCTCCCTTTTTTGGAAGGATGTGAATATTGATATCCTTCTTCCTGCTTCAGGCCTATGGGCTGAGAAAGATAAACATCTCTTATGGAGAAGATGGAACAACTGGAGAATCTGAAGAATGGGTTTCTCAGCACTTATGTTTGGCCTATCTATCTCGTTCCTCCAGAGAGGCATATCCAGATAGATAAATGCTGTGAAACTACTAAAATTGTCTGTTGTGCTAAAGAGGCACTCCCCCAACCAGCCTTGTCTCAAGTTTTTTGAATGTTGAGGTCAATGATAGCAACAAAAGAGCTGGTGTGACTATAAAGTTACTGCGCACCCCATCAACTGAATGTTTTCCTGCACTTCTTGAAAGTATTTATAGTTATTACAGGGTTGGACAGTAGTAGTAGTCTAGTAGGGACTGCCAGCTGCCACCTCATAGAACCCATAAATAGGGTGGAGATAGAGCACATGGTGAAAAGACAAGGACAAGCTTTGTTCTACAGTTAATTTGATATTATGCTAGAGCATAAATTTGCCAATGAAAGAAACTTTCTTACTCAGAATCAGTGTTTTCTTGCCTGTCCCAGTATTTTTGTGTCCTGGTTTGCTCAGATCTATGCAGAATCTTCCCGTTAATGATAAGTTGACTGCCATTTGCTTTTTTATGGTTGTTCATTGGGTTGGTTGACATGCACTTAGATTCAACTTGAGGGCAGGTCTTAATTGATTAGCTGATTTTTTTCTGTAAAAAAAAATAAAAAGCAAACATAATGAAATGAAGCTTTTAAGTATGACTCAGGCACACCCTCCATGTCTTGTTTCTTCAAATTCTAGAGACTGCATTTCTTAGCTGATGTGAAAAATCATCATGACTTGCTCCGTGTCAGAGAAGTCAATCATGCTTTAAATCCTTGCAAAACCCAAGACATCTGGCTTCATTCCTTCTGTGACTGTACACCTCCTGCCATCCTTCAAGACTGCTGCTCAATAACTTCCTTCAGAATCTTATTCCTTCCTGTGGAAGTTTTGTTATTTTGCTGACTGATGTGAAGGCATAGTTCACAGTGACAGTTGGTCTGGAGAGACTTCCTTAGAATAGTTTTATTTGTTATGATGTTTAAATTGTATGTTTTTAAATGGTTTTTGTTGATTTTTCTTCAGTACATTCAAGTTAAGCAGTCAAGTCTGAGCTATGTTTAATTGCTTGCATGCATGTATTAATCACTGTGTGAATCTCAAAATGCCTTCCGACAATAGTACTCCATTGCTCAAAATGAGTTTCCAGTCATGCATGGCTCCAGATAGAACGTCTAGATGTACTAAGCATTGTGTTTTGCATATTCACATTTTGTTGCCAAGTAGTACTCAAGTGCTACAGCAGCTTTTTTCTTTCTTCTTGCATATATTATTTAAAATAATATCTAAAGAAGAAAGTGTTGTAACCAGAAATTGGCGATTGGGATGCTTAAGGAGTCAGCTACCCTTCAAAAACTTTACATAATACAATTCTGTAAACCCTGAGTTACTAGTCACACTGACTGATATGCACACATATCAACATAAAAACTAAATTAGAGTTATTTTCTCCAAGACGCTTGATTTGAAAGAAATTTTATAATTTACTTTATAGATAAATGTTCTTAAAAATTTTTCACATTGGAAAATCCTCAAAGCATTTTTTAAAGGCATATAATTGAAATTTTAGTCTTGAAAGGAAGAGCATCGAGCAAAATGCTTTCCGAATTTCAACTTTCCACCTATAAAGAAAAAACAACTAAGGAGGTATCGTTTTAAATGTGGATACTGGCACATATTGCACATGAAGAAATTTTTTTCCCACCTGAAGGGGTTGAGAGTTTCAAAGATTTCGTTTTTTCTGTCCCAGCAGATTTCCCGAAATTTAATTTCTTTCTGCCATATTTGGGGAAATTTGATTGGTAGTTACCAATGGCGTAAGCATGGCGTATTACTCGAGCGTGTCTTAGGTACAATCTCGGAAAAGTTCACGAAAGTTAGTATTTTATGGAATTTTAAATGGCTTCAGGATGGTAAGTCATTGACGAGTCCAATATCGTCTTGGATTTCAATTTTTCGTTTAGAAGTTTTTTTTTTCGTGATTAAGGTAAATGAAAACATGATGTAAAATGTGAAATAAATAGTATGAAATGAATATGAAATCGAAGTACCATTGAAATACTGATTTCGGTCATTATATCTTGGTTAGGCACGTGGACCATGTTCGTGCCTATTTTCAACATATCGCCAAAAGTTGTGTGAAAATTGGCGGGGTGTAGCCCTGTCAATAATCAATCACCGGAATCGTCCGCCGATACGGAAAAGGAGCAGGTGCTTCCCCAATTTCCACGCAGGAAAATCCTCGTAATTCATGGCGCGATTGCATCTCTGGGATTTTGGTCGATCGATAGCATCGGCCGCGGAGGCGTGAGTCATTTCCGACTCGCGATTGCGAGATGAAGACCTCCTCTCGCGCGCGCACGCACATCCGTAATGCACCCGAATGCGATGCGAAATCACGCGTGGAAGTCGACTCACGCGTGAGCCAATTGCGGCGAGGCTTGGCATCGGTTTCCGTTATTCCGGCTTGCTATAGCGTGCAGAAAAATTTTACTCGGGCAGTGAATTCTGTTCTTGTCACGGTTGAGTTGTCTTCCCAAAATTCCTGCGTGAGTCACGAAGAAAGTCGTGAGTCACGACTCGCGAAGAACGTCGTGAGTCACTTTGGACATACCGCCGATCTCCGGCAAGTTCTCAGAAAGTACAGGCTTGCGCCGGTTCTTGTAAATATCTTGGTAGCCCCGACGAGACATGTAATATTTCTTGCTGCATAACCCATAAGTACTAAACGTAGTAAACATTCTAATTCCAAATATTACAATAATTTAAATATTACAAATTAATTCAAAATATTACATGAGTGGACACAGAGCTCTCAGCAACTGACGTCTGAAGCTTGAATCGAACATTGGCATTGAGCATTTTGGTAGAATCCCCCTGTAATACAAAAATACGTATGGCTGGGCCATAGAATTTGCTCTTTCTGGCCGAGATAATTTCCTGGAACTCGGCACAAGAAAAAAAAAAAAATCAGTATTGCAAAAGCGCGTGATTTTAGCCCGTCTCTGCCGAAGCGAGATGGAATTGAATGTCCCACTGCACTTTTGCTTTACGCTGCGGCTCGCAGGTGCCTCCGTCGTCCTCCCGCGATAGAAGCAGTAGGGATGATCAGTGTCGAAAGTCTCATTGCGTCACCAAATTTCTCTCATTCCAACCAGTGAAGAATATTGGATATTAATTTGTTGGCTTCTCGCCCGTTTATTGGCCGCCACCGGCACACCCCAGGTTAAAGACCAATTGCATTTCAATTTCTTTTAAAAACCATCTTCACATGTTAAATGTGAAGGTACGTAAATTTCCTTCTTAAACCTCTTACGTCTGCAGGAATCTGATGTTAGAAACTTTTTTTGGGGGCGCCCAGTAGTAGGTGTGAGGGAGAAATTGATTGGAGCTGAGGATGTCCAGATGTTGTCCTTTGGACATCTTCCAGGTGTCTGGATGGTGTTTGGAATATATAGGAGAAATGCTTGGGTGGAGTTCAGTGAGAATATGTTCCAAGTTTTAATATTTGAGAGTGACTAAGAGAAAACACTGAATTTAGTCATGTCAAACTTGCAGTTGATCCTTGGAGTGGTGAAATTGAGATTAAGGTCAAATGATTATCTCCTTGTAAGATGTGTTGGGCATTATCATAGTTGACAGTGGTGCGATGATTGTTGGTCGTTAATGGGTGAGGCCCTAGGCTCCTTGGCTCACTTAATCAAGCTGTGGTTTCATGGATATGACTGAAGTTATGAAAGAAGGAAAAGAAAATTCATTGGGACACCCTTGCAAGGGTCAATGGAATGGACTTTTCACCTCTGACCTAAAGACTAATGAAGCTCTTGCGATCAAAGGGGTGGACAATGTTTCACCATAGACTGGGACAGTTCACTCTTCATTTCGCTAGTGGATGCTAATCTCTCCACCAATTTGAGATGACATTCATCAATGATCAGTGAGAATGACAAACATGGTCTGGATAGAAATGAAAGAGGCCCATAATTGCAAAGCCATCATTGGTGATGGGCTGAACCATATTGAGAAAAATGAGGTAGGCATCCTCAGTAAATGATAAATATAGGCTCTTAGTTTGTACTCCGATGCAGACCATGAATTGGTTGACTGCAAAGTTGACTTTTGACTCAGCCATATAGGTCAAAACAAATGGAAGTCCCTTAAGCTGTTCTAATGACTGAATGAATGACTGTTAACAAAACAAATTGCTATTTTTACACTATTCTAATCTATACTTAGGCATGAAGATATGCATAGCTTTTGACATTGTGACATTTTCACCCTGATCCCATCATACCAGGGTTTCATAGTGGAGCTTGGGCCTAATTTAATATCAGTGATTATCCTAATTGTTATTCATTTATTTTCTTGTTTCAGGTGAGCTAGCAATGTGTATGGAAAATTCAAATCATGGATGGACCCATTGATGAAATACGGGAAGTTCTTCCCAAGAAAGGACTTGTTCATTATGAAGACTATGAGAAGTTCATTCTCTGCAAGCCAAAGATCCTCCCTTTGAAGCCAGTGACCCTAGAAAAGCTGGAGCAGATGCAAAGAGAGGCTCATCAAGTCGCCAAAGATCGGATATCTTCTGCTCAACCTGGACATTCTCGGCGAAGTTGAATATTTGTTGCCTTACACAAGATGTGTGGCAGAGATATTCCAATTGTGTTTAAGTGATTGTGAAGAAACAAAAGTCCTTGTTTGTGAAGGTACATTGGACTACCAACAGACACAGACTTTCCAATTAAAAAAATCACCATAAATTCATTCTTGAATCCCATCACTGAAGAAAAATGTCATACGTACCTCTTGTGAGTGCAGTTCTCATTACATTTGTGATAGCTGCATTACTCCTCTATCGCTATGGAAACTGGTTTCGCCATCATCCAATTGTTACATTATCTGTCCTGGTGGCATGGTATTTTTCCTTCATCATCATCGTCATCATCCCAATCGATGTTTCATCTGTGAGTTTGTGGACACAACATAATTACAGCCTTCAATTTGCTTAGCTATGGGTTTCCCATTTATGGCTTAATCTAAATCAAATCATCTGGAATCCATGTATGAAGGAGCCCTGCTCTGGTATGCAAATGTTAAATTCAGCTCGTGCTTATTCATGAGCAGGTTTTCTATTGGGAGGGAATATCAGGATATGTAGCATCAGTACTTTATAGTCATGAAAAATGTTCAGACTGCTGCAACACTCAGACAAGAATTTATTCTGTATCCCCTCAATCCCACTTGATGTTTCAAACTATGCATGAACTCAGAATGCATAATTTTTCTGTGTCTCATTTGAGAGTCATAAGCATGTCACAGCCTGCCTTGTGCATATGTCATTTTCTCTGGATTCCTTCATCTCCATTTGATTGCCAAATACCTTTGCTCATTAGTTTATATATATGCACAGCAGAATTGAATAATCATACTAGAAGACCAATACAATGAGTACATTGCACAAAATGGTGAAATATCTAGTCATTTAACATAGTACAATAATATTTTTATCCTATGCAAAGAAGTAAGGGCCTGACATTGCTAACTAGATTTGGTGATTTAAATTTATACTGAATTGAGAGCATATGAAATGACTTTATGTTTGGCTCAATGTGTATTCCAAAAAATAGTGGTCTCTGCCTTATTTTCTCTTTAAACCACAGGATAGAAAATATGTTTGAAATTTTTAATCACTTATAATGAATTATGGCTTTCTCATTTCTCCATTTTGCATCCCTTAGACTATGTACAGACAGTGTCTTCAGGAGCATCGCTCAGGAGTTCATGAGCTGGATATAGATGAGAACATGACCATGATCTCCATGAACAGCACTGAAGAATGTGAGAAACCATGGAGTCTGATACCAGAGCGTGTTCTCCCGCGTCTCTGGAGAGTCGTCTATTGGACATCTCAAAGTCTCACATGGTAAGTCATTTTCCCATGAGGATATGCTTTAGATAAAAAATGTTGAGAATGCTCAAGACTGGAGATTCCTCTTCAAATAATATTTGTAGTTGCAGAACATTCTTTCTCTGCTTCATTGGCTATAAAGTACTGGATTTATCTGAAGAAGTCATTGAGTTGTCCATGAATCATTTAGAAGTTATCTGCATGGATTTGCAATTTCTCTATGGGAAAGGTGCAATCTGGGGCAGGCCTGAAGACGAGAGTTTTTTTTTCTTATTGAGAGACTCTTACTGAAATAGTTCTAATGAAGATTTTCTTTTTTTAATGATCCATGGAGGCTGGCATCCCAAAGCTTTAGGGAATGGCCAGGCATCTTTGGGTGTAATCAAAGTGTCACATGCAAATGAGAACTTATTATTTCAAGAATTGAAGCAATGATTTAGAAACATTAAGTTTTAATAAAGATTTTGAAACTTGATGCTCATACCAGTTTATCTGTGTTGAAAGCATAATGAGATCTACTATGCTGGTTCTTAGTTCATATCAGAAGCTATGAGATAATCTAGACCTAATGAGCTGAACTAAATTATAGATTGTCTTTTTTTGCGGTTTCTTTGATTTGAGTACATTATTATTGTCAATAAGGGTTTCTATGAATGTTTGATTGAAACTTTCTTTTTAGGCTGATACTGCCATTGATGCAGTCATACACCAAAGCAGGAGCATTCACAGTCCTTGGAAAGCTGAAGACTTCATTGATTGACAATGCCATTTACTATGGGTCATATCTACTCATCTGCATCATCCTCCTCATCTACATTGCATTGCGCCCTGAACTGGAGTTGGATGGGTAAGACAAATTCCTGTCAGTATTCTTAACAACCTCATAGCATCCTCAGGCTTTACAGGTGAATCTACACAATGGAAGTCTTTTACAGGGTTTGTTTTCATGCTAATTTAAGCACATGTTCTTGACTATCATGCATCAAGAGAGTGAACCCAGGAAATATTGTAAGGTCCATCATGTAGGCTGCAAACGATCCCAAAGCTGTGATTCATCTGAGTATATGCCTATAACAGCAAGAATTGGAATTACTACCCTGAAGCTGAATTAGTGTATCTACTATATGGTGGCTGGATGATGACACCTCTTTTATTTGAGAAAGGCTTTTCCTCCATTTCCAAAATTTTCTTTTTTTTATTGTTCAATCTTAGATAAGTCAACTGAAAAGAACTACAGTATTTCTGTTGATCTGATCTTATTAGAGGCTCTTCCTTAAGCTGGATTGATTTACTATTTTAAAGGAAATGCAATTTACAATGAGTGTCCTATAGCTGGCAGCCTTTCCTGACAATTTTTTATTGGAAAAATACAAGTTACATTCCAAAGTAAATTTATTGGAAATGAATTGGAACTCATGAATCAAAAATTTTTTGTAGGCATCAAGGTCAACTGTAGGACTGTGTTTACTGATTTTAACCAGGTTGATAGATGTAATTGTGATTAAATGTTTAAATGCTCATGGCAGTTTGCTTTTTTGTGTCGCCTAGTCCCAGACTGAAGGTGATTGCTGTGACAGCAAGCAACACATGGGGCCTGTTCCTACTTGTTTTGCTGCTGGGCTATGGATTAGTTGAAGTTCCAAGGAGTCTTTGGCTCATGAGCAAACGAGGATACCGACTACGCAGTCTTTATTTCAAGGCATCCAAGCTGGCTTCAGAAAAGAGTGAAGCTGAAGAGAATATGGATGATGTCATCTATGTAAGTCCCTCCCCTAATATTTATTGCAAATTAAGAATTCCTTCTTCCAATAGGAAGTACTAAACATAACTTTAAACCTTAGAAGAATATCAGTAATGGATAGTTGCTTCATAGCATTAGAATCCATTTTTGGAGTTGGAGTGGAGAACTGGATATGGTCCAACACTTAATGAAGAACATTCTTTCAACATGCTTTTGATTTTGGTATTTGATGTATCCCATGTTGCAATAATGCTATTCAAGTCTTTGCAGGTACATTCTCATGTCACATTTTTCAACATTAAAGCATCACAGTAAGTTACTGTGATGTTGCTACAGCTTTACAGAACTCTATTTAGAAATGTTATTAATTCTCCTACTTTCCTATCAATCTTCAATGTTACATCTGGTCCACACCACACCATCACCCCAATATGCTTCATCTAAATGGTTTCCATTGTAGCCAGTGATGGCACTTCTAGATCCAGCAAATAAATTATTGCAAAAATGTTATGCATTTGACTTTTTACACTAAAATATTGTAGACCTCCTTAATACCAATTTAAATACCATTTTGCTCCATCAAAATCAAATAGTTCAAATATACAATTTTACGCATAGATCTTCAACTTTAAAATGACTGACTGTCCTGAAGGGAATAAAAAAAAAACTTGCTTTCTTTCCTCCCAGGGCATTTTTTTTTCTTCTGAAAGTGAAGGGCAATCTTCCATGAAGGCATTGCATTATGAGATGAGAACTTCTGCTGTTTATGGGCCACTGTGAAATGTCAAAAATGGAAATTTTTTGCATAATATTTATGTAGAGTGAATCTGAAATTTACAGGTGGTACTCAGAACCACACAAAGCATTAAAGACCCACTAAAGAAGCATAAATCACTGGTTTCACTGAAGTATAATTCCATCCTCAGACATTGTTTGTTGAATATCTCCCTGTAAGAGTCACATGATGAATTGCAAAAATGTTGACTGTCAAGGTAATTAACACCCTGACACATCATGTTGTGACTCACTGAAATGCTCTTGGGACATTATGATAGAAGATAAGTATGTATGGTCATAGATGCTGAAATTAAAAGTATGTCTTGTAGAAACATGACTCAATAGCCTTTTTTTATCATTACTTGCATAATTAATGATTATAACATTCCTTCCTGGATTATTTTTTTACATGAAAATTTGAGGAAGCATCATAACTAAGCAATGAAAATGCATTATTGATGTAACAGTCGTGTGTTTATTGGGTTGGTATTGAAGATAGTGTTGCTTTTTGAATTCTGGAAAAGAAATTGTGCTTCCATGTGAATTTTGGAATGAAGGTGGAATGTCCCAATGAGAGTATTTCAGGTGTGAGACTATGTTTGTCATCAAAATAGCAAGCAAGAAGTGTTGCCATTGCAGGAGAAAATGTTGAAGACATCACATGGTATCTGATCTTTGAAATAGTCACTGGAATGGAGACTATTATTCATTTGTGGTCAGCTTCAGGGAAGGTGGAATGATTAATGTTCTATTTTCCATTATTTGACTCTGGTATCAGCATAGCTATGGTTTGCCTGCAGGTATGTTCTCCAGTGTGAAGGACTGTGAGTCTAAACTTGAACTCAACATTGTTGATCTTGTTGCAGGTATTGGGAGAGCTTCAGGTACAGATTCCAGATAGCCATCCCCTCCATGTGTATCTGATGACTGTGCTGAGTAAACTTCCAAGAGAAGAACACGAGAGAATGGCCAGACGAAGGCGGACAGGTTCATCCAGTCCCAATACTCTCCCATCAGAGAAGGCCCTCATCAAGGTGCACACTGAGGTGAGAGCCCAGCATCCCTTGTCCCACTTTCTCTTAGCCTCTCCAAACATGTTTGATATCCGAAAATGCTCTAATAGCTATTTGTAGTTCTCCAGGCTGACTGCCATTTTGTGCAGTCTGCATTCTTATGCCCATACAGACATTAGGCAGCATTGGTGAGGAACTCTCTGAGTCTCTAGGCTGACACAGAAAATGTGTTTGGTGTCATGAACAGCATGTTCTTTGAAGTATTGAGTTGTGTTTTTGGTATGATTGCAAATGTGAAACAGCCTTGAATACCTGTAGCATGTAATAGTTGAGTTGCTGTCATGGACTCATGTGAAATGGATGCTACTATGAATCATAACATTTCTTTATCCACTTTCGCTCCTTCCAGACAAAGATGTATTATCTGCACAAAAATCAATTTGTAAAGGGTCTCATGGAAATGCCCTTATTATTGTTTTTACTTATTTATACCTTTTGATATATTTACATTTTTGCTGATGAAACATACTGATTTTGCATGGTAAGGAGATTATAATATATATGCTCTCAAGAAGTTTTAAGTAAGTCCTTTGATGTGCTTATTTTGCAGCTGATCCGTGCACTTCAACGAAAACGTAGAACACAGACCCAGTGGGCAAACCTTGTGGAGGAAATTGCATGGCTGGAGGAAGTGGCACGGAATGAGAACTCCTTAGATCATGTCTTTAGGATTCATTCTGATGGGGAGCTTGGGTTTAAACCTGAACGTCCATGGTGGCGCTCCTTATATACACCAAAAATTGGTCTGTTGCTCATTCTTTTTTGCATTTCTTATTCATCTTTTAAAGCATCTCATTGAGGAAGATATGTAGGTAATTTTACAATGATGAGCCATAAAATTTTGCTTTTTTTGCCTAATTACCTCCTATTTTGGTGAAAATTGACAGAAATGTAGAGAAATTCATTTTAGGAAACCATTCTAAAAATTTTTTTGTGTCCTGCACTGTTGTCTTAGGATCTGGTATGATCATGACCTTATTTTGGCTCCTAGCTAACTCCCATCTAACTGGTGTGGACCTCTGGGATTTTTTTTAGTAATAACTTCTTTCTTGATTGAGATAAATGCTTCACTCTAGTGATTGCCTAGGGTAAGTATTCCATACAAGGTACAAAGTCTGCATGGTACTCACGCTCAATAATAAAAAATATTTTCCAAGTGAATCAATATGACATGAAAGGCTCAGGTCTATTTATTAACGTTGTCAGAACTGCCTTTGTGACAGCCATGATTATTTTCAAACTTCCTTGTCTTTATCTTTCTCTTGATGAATCTAAAATTATTGAGGGAAAATGTGCTTATGTCTTCCTAGAATGGTATTGGGAGTGCGCATGGAAGTGTTATGCCTTTAAGGCCCTGGCAGTGGTATTTGGGGTCTGGTCTGTGTTTGTCGTCTGGTCCGAAGTGTCTTTCTTCAACAAGGAGCCAGTGCTCTCTCTCTTTGCTAAATTTGTCCAACTTGCCAAGGAAAACTATGACTACTTCTCCATGGAGGTTTGTTTCCATCCCTAGCCACTTCCTTTCAGTTAGCCCTGGATGGGTGACTTTTAGCTGTAATTAGCAAATACACATACCCTAGTCTCCTTTTGGCATCAGTGAGTCAGTTATAGCTGTCATAGATGTGTTGGTCTCATTTCATATCAGCAAGATTTCTCTGGAAATATCTTTCCTTGTTTGAAACAATTTTAGTGCTGTTAGCACTGTACAATGTAGGCAAATTTTCTTTGGTATTGTTTATTTTGCCTGCTGGTTTTTAAATAAATGAGGTTTGCAATGGTATTTGAACATTTTGAATACCAGCATACATGATCATTAAGCTTGGTTCCTGGTTCCTAGCATCACTTGGTGTCACTAATCAGTCTTGATGCATTTAAAAACTCAGTGAAAAAAAAGTTATTGCTTTTAGGGCTGTAATTTTCAGGGTAAGTGGAAAAGGAGCTAGGCATAAAAATCTCCCATGAATTTGATGTTTTAATTTTTTTCATCTTATGTCTGCTTAAAAAGGAAACCTGTTTTTAGAAGAAAGATTGAAACCCAAACAGAATGTTGAGTACCCCCCAAAGTAATTCAGTGATGCTTGTCTCATATTGATACCAGCTTGAACATTTCTGGAATTGGAATCCATGCATAATTGAAATTTATGTTCTATTTATTATCTAGCTCTATCTGATAATGAATATTTTTTATGTGACTGTTCATGACTTTTCCCAACTTCCTTGGATATCTTCAGGTGATATCATTCCTGACTATCTCGTATCTCTGCATATGTGCATACTACACTGTGTTCAAGATTCGAATCCTGAACCTCTACTACCTTGCACCCCACCACCAGACGGATGAGTACAGCCTCATCTTTGCTGGCATGTATGTTCTGCTTTTTGCATCGCTCAATGAAGTCATTAGTTTTGTACAGGTGGATTGAAAACATTGAGTTTTCAATTTCACATCCTTATCCTGGAGCCCTTTTTCCTTTTGTTGTATTCATTATGAAAATTACCTTACAAAATGGATGTAAATAGAATTGGGGATTGCCTCTTCATGACTCATTCCTTTGCTCCCATTTGACCCTTCTAAGACTGCAGATTTCCATCTTTATTGCATTCTCTTCCTTGTTTAATATTCCACACTTCATAGGTCACAGACAGTTCAATGGCCAACTATTCAAAATGATGCATTTCATGAAAATTTTGCATTAAATCTGAAATTAGAGATAAGCTCTCATAGGATTATAGCTTGTTTACTCTGTAGGAGTCGTACTAATAAATTATTGACTACGTTTTGGAACATTTTGGAATCACCCTATCCCTGCAATCTCCTTCGAATCCAAAAGTCTGTATGAAGTCATAAGTATACACAGTTGAAGAACACTTGTAGATGAAGCTTAATTTCAATATCACCTTCCATCTGTGGAGTTTGAGCTTTCTTAATCCCCCAAGCTTTAATTTTCTGAAAACCAGCAATGGTTCTGAGCAGCATATGCCATTGCACACACTTGGAAGGTTAAAGTCAGGGTGAGTAACATGCATGGCTTATCTACTTCTAGCCCTTCACCATCATTGGAAGATGTCAAGTGTCATGATCAAACTGCTAAACATGAAGTGAATAAATGATGGTAGTTGCATTTATGAGGAATTGAGACCATTCCACATTCAGAATGGTTTGAAATAAGTTTACTTGTAGAAGACTCATGACCAGTTTCTTCCACTTTTTTTTTTTAACCAAATCAAAAGCCCACCAAAAAGAAACTGCATTGTGTCTTGCAATTGTGTATTTTCCACCATTTCAGTGGTTGGAAATCTATTTCCAACTATAGGCTGTGAAGAGAAGTCCCATCCATTTGATTGTTTGTAAACGTTTTGCTGTATTTTGACCTACTAATGGAAATGGGAAGGTGTCAAAGTCTTGTTCTGCAAATTTAGTAGACTTCCCAATGAGGAGCTCTTCATTCATGCGGTTTTGCTCATCGAATTTTGCAGGTTGTTGTGTCGGCTGACTCCACCATTGTGTCTCAATTTTCTTGGTCTCATCCACCTTGACAGCCACATCACAAAAAAGCATGGCATTGAAGAAACAGCTTACACAAATGTAAGTCTTTCTTGCATCCTCTTTCCATGGTTGAATTGTCACTCATGAATGACTGATATTTGACAGATCATGGGGCACATGGATGTGATCAGCATTGTATCTGATGGCTTCAACATCTATTTTCCCATGGCAGTGCTGGCACTTTGTCTTGCCACTTACTATAGCCTTGGAGCCCGGTTCCTGTCGCTGCTGGGCTTCCAGCAGTTCATGGTAGATGATGACATCACGACTGATCTTGTCGAGGAGGGGAAAGAACTTGTTCGACGAGGTACTGTACTTTTGCAGCCTTTCATTGCATATATAACTCCTTATGTGAAGTGCTGCATTCCTATATTTGTGAATATACATGTGCCCATTTCAATATTTGTCAGATGAAGTATAATTTAGAGGTTCTGTACTCATTCACTCCAGGACAGGATGTCAGGCATTCCTCAGTCTTTCAAAGGATGCAGTCCATGGTTCATGTAGAGTTTCCAAAGCTTTTACATTACTTACAACATTTCCTATTTGTAGGTATACATTTACAAAATTTCAAAGCTAATGTTGATTTTCATTGGCATAACATTTGGTGGATATTAAGTAACATTAAGTAGGTGGAGTATTAAAAATTTTTTTTAAACTTATTTTTATCCATGAAATTCAATTTATTTTGTGCTGATAGATGGTTTCAAGTTCAAGGTTCAAGGGTTGGATAGGGACATTAAGGGAAATTTTTGCCCTTGTTAACATCCTGTGCCAAGATTTTACTTTTAAACTATCTATCTTTTGACAGGTGGGCCTATCTTGTGTGAGTTTGTTTATCTACTACATGCATAATTGGGGAATGGGAAATTTGGCAGAGCTCACAGACAGTACTCCTTTGGAAGTATTCCTATCCTTATGTCCNTGCCCCCCCCCCCCCCCCCCCCCCCCCCCCCCCCCCCATCTCAGTACTCTTAGAAGGATTTAGGCATGGTCTAGTACAGTGGTTTTCAGCCAATGGTACCAGATTACTAGACAAAAGCCTCAACTGTACCATTCGCAACTGTGGAGACAATTCAGACAATTAAGTGTTTTTATGCTAAAATGCCATCAAGTTATAAACAATCCACTGCCTGTCTACACTGCCAGATTTTCCCTTATCAAAATTTGCAATTTTTAGTCCTTGCCATCCAAGTATCTTCAACTAAGAGAAAATAATCTCTTGTGCTTTTCCAGTGCATAGATTGGCCCTAGAAGCCTCATTCTATGGAGTGGAGAACCATTCCAATCATTGAAACTACAGCTTATGAATGAACTCTCTTGTTTGAGAACATGAGGATGCCTGTTTCAACACCTGTGTGCAAATTGGACAGACCACCTTTCTAATGGACCTTTCAAATGATGACCAAGAATAATATTTCTGCCACTTCAGTTGAACTAGCAAAAAATGTTTCATGAATTGTTTAGGGGGCTGTGCCCCTATGAATCACCACCTATGACTAAGCAGTTACTTACAACTGCATTGCTCCCAATTTTGTTTTGTCCATGAAGGTGTCTTGCCCCTTAAAGCTATTCATGTTTATGGACAAGCTGCATTAATGCAACACAATTGAAGTTTTGATAATGCAAAACAGCAATGAAATTCACACTCCTCTGCCATCTTACTTTTAGATGTTTCTATCCATTCAGCTTTCTTTCAACTTCTTTAGTACTCAATCTTTCAGCCATTTTGCACTCAGATGTGAAATTACTCTTCAAAATGAAGAGTATTTATTCACTCATTCAACCTAGAGTACAGCTGAAAAAGACAGTCAGCCAAAACAAGCCTCCTTATAATTGTACTTAATCCCTTCCTAAAACATCATGCTGTTTGTGTGAGTCCCTTCCCATAGCTTTCATTCCAGTGCCTACTTAACCTCCCATATCTTGTATGGGCCAACACTTTGTGTTATTTCAATGGGTCTGAGAATTTAATGAGCAAAGAAAGGTGGCATTGGACTATAAACGACCCCTTTCTTGTCTCCTGCACTGCCTGTGCACATGTAGGCCCATTTGTTGGGCTACATAGTGGAGAAGTTGCATATCTTCTTTCTATCTGTGAGATGCCTGGTGTAAATGCCTGGAAGATACTGACACATTTTAGGAGGAGGTTGATTATATTTAACTACTTGAATCAATTTAAGGATTTTTTCTTGAAGTTCACAACTCAATTAGCTATATGCAAATGGGCCTATACAGTGACAGTGATTGAAAATGCAATGTTCGTTTATACAATTTTGTGTAGACTGGCTGTTCCTCCTCCTTGAGAACTTAGAAGAGATTCTAATTCTTATTCTTTCCCTTTTCTCAAGCATTCTTCATGCATCAGATTGCATATTGACTGTTCCAGGAAAGTGTTTTAAAAAGGAAATGTGGGATGTGGGCTTTTGGATGTGGAGCGGTTGAGTAATAACGTCATCTTATGCTGGTTTTTTATCCCAGAAAGTCCTATTTGTCTCACTGAGTGACATTTTGTGCAGTTGAGTTGACTGCATGTGAGGTTTCGTGAATTCAAGCTGCTCTGTCCCCCGACATCATTCTCTTGTTTAATTTGCAGTATGATGTCTGGAGAACTTTTCCTTGTGATTTCATGGGATAGTACTAGTATGCTCAAGAAAGGTTGAAGAAAGTTTTTTTTTTCTTGCTTAGAGCGAAGGATACAGCAGAGACAGGAGAGTTCTCAAGGAAGAAATAAAGCTTATCGAGCACGAGACGTCCCGTCTCCAACTAGGCTTCGATCGCCAGCCTTTGACATGGGTATGCCCAAATGCATCCTGCTGTACCTCTATGTTTTTTTTTCCTTTTTTTTTTTGAGAGTTTCTCTCTGCTCTTTACTTTGAAGAAGAAACAGAGTCCCTCCAACTGCATCAGTGTGTGTGCTCATCATTTAAGTTTTCTATTTTTTTAAGAATCCTTATTCAAGAACATCCAGATTGGGAAAAAAAACCTATCATTTGGTATATTTACAGTTTAGGAAACATTAATTTAATGGCAAGTTATTTCTAAATTAGCCCTGAAATGTACCAACTTTTAAGATAAGTGTTTGGAAGACCAAGATCCATGGACTTGGGGCACATCCATGCCCTAACCTTCCCCCCCCAACACAAGGCATTCTCTTGCATTCCTTTATTCTTTATTTCCTGCTCATAATACCTGATATTACTTATGGTTAAAGAATTGATATTGTTCTGGATCCCTTCAAGGAAATTTCAAAACACCCTGAATATGCAGTTTAAAATAGGAAAAAGCTCAAGAGATAAGAAAAAATCCATATCCTAACTGTTACCATGCTTTGTTCACTTGTAGTACTTTAATAATAGTGCCTGGGGCTTACAACAATTTTTTTTTTATGTTTCTCGACTCTGGGAGCACCCACTCAAACTAGGTGTACTATATACAGTTTCATTGAAACAATGCTACCTGTTACTTTTTTAAATATGCCAGGGAATCCATCATATCCTTTTTTTGAGTTGTCAATGTAATCCTCAGGAGGAAAAGTTATGTAAATTTTCATGGCAATTGTTTTTCCAGAAGCAGAATTTTCCTACCTTCCTTTCACAGCCCCTAATCGGATTCCCTTGTTCCAAGCACTCAAGAAGCATACAAGATGGATTATGAACCAAATTACATGAAATTGATTGTGTATGTCCATACAGTTAACTCGTTCGCCACATTCCTGTAAGGGCATGGACTCTTAAGCTTACTCACAGTCTCTCAGCAGTGCAGTGCTTCTCTGGGTGTATCAAGAGTACCTTGGTAATTCACGAGTACTCTAGTTGCTGCAACGCGTGTGCAGAGTTGTCTGTCGTTGACATGTGTGGGAAGGGGTACCAATAGAAACAATACGCAACATATCTGAACCAATACAAAACTTAGTGGGAAGCAAAGTGCTTCCAACCCAACCTAAGTGTGGCAGGTATGAGACTCACTGAATGGCAGTGTATTTCTCCTGCATCAAATGGGATTTTGAAAGGAGATGTCCTTACTGAACTGGGCTACCTTCCCAGGTGTTGTTTTCTTCTCTTTTTGTTACTTCATCATTTATCACTACAATAAGGCATTGTAATGCCCCGCACCGAAGCACGCAAGTCCAAAGCATCTATCTCACCCCATAAATGTAAATCTTTCTCTTCGCGTAATAAGTGATGTACCTCGTCTCGTGACTTTCTTGTGTCGGTTGCTTCCAGGGTCCCAGACTCGACTGGAGTTGCTCACAAATGCCGAACCCATGGCCACGGACTACAGCTCTGGCTCTCGATTCAGCGGCAACGATCCTCCACGAAATATCTTTGATGATATTTGAAGTTCTGGCTTTAAGTTCAGGCTCTCAAAGTTCCTCAGTTTTCTTATCGTATGTGATTCTTATTTAATATTTAATGCGAGATTGAGGGTGTTGGGAAAACCGGGCCGTGTTCGTTTTAATATATTCTTTTATGTACTGGACGTGAAATGCCCTTTCTAGTCAATGCCTGTCTCGAATACATTCCTTTGGTGTCGCGTACTCCATTTCTTGATTGCACGAGTCAAAAGTGGCTCGTGTGTTCATCTGGGAGGGTGTGATTTGCAAGGCAATTGCCAATGGAACCACGCTTTGATTGGCCCATACATATGGAGTCGAAGAACCAACAAAGAAGGACTCAGTTGCATTTCTTATCATCCGCCTCATGTAACCAATTGTACTCGTCTCTAAGTTATACTCCAAACAGAAGCAGAGCACAGTTTGGTATAATATTCTGTACTCTCCATTTCATCCGAAGGGTGATAATTATTTCGAAGGAAGTAAAGGAATGCGCAGGATTTTCTCCAGCCTAAACCTCGTAGAACTCATTTAAAAAAAAAGAAAGAATAGATTTCATGGACCGCCTTTGAAGCTGTGGCTCTCGTTGATGGAGACGCATTCTCGTGTCCCCACGCCTCCCTCACCCTGTCCATCCGGACCAAGCACAAGAGATGCAATGCTGCTGAAATAATTGATTTATCGCTCGAAAGCGCACTTGCATTAACAAAAAAAGTGGTTTCTGTCTCATGCCCTCATTACAACCTTCATCCTGGGAACAAAAAAGGAACTGACGCCTCTCACATCTCCATTCTCTAGTATGTATATCAGGAAAAAAATTTTCATTCCGCATCCAGTTTCCTACTTGATATTCAAAAGCCTCTTCAATAGCCCCAAAACGGTGCTGCATTCTGCGGAGTTTCATGCTGCTGCATCCCTCCTTATTTTGTGCATGATGGCATCTAACTGTTCATTCACTACCCATACTTACATACATACATTTTCTTGGCCGCTTTTCCCAATTTAATGGGGTCTCGGTTCGAGCATTCCCAGGAGCGTCCTCCAGTGATCTCGATCCTGGGCAACTGATTCAAGCTCAGCCGGTGGGATGCCGAGCCTCTCGTGACAAAGCCGAGCGACGTAATCACTCCACCTTGTACGAGGTCTACCGACAGGTCTTTTGCCGGTCATCTTGGCCTGGAAGACTTCTCTTGGGAGCCTCTCGGGGGGCATGCGGCAGACGTGACCAAACCACCTGGCCTGAGACCTCTCGATCCGGAGAAGCAGCTGCTCGACGTGGAGACTCTCGCGGATGGCAGAGTTCCGCATCCGATCACGGCGTGTTACGCCAGCCACTCGACGCAAGAAACATTTCGGCTGCTTGTATCCGCGATCTGGTGCTTTCGGTCGTTACCCAAAGTTCGTGACCATAGGTGAGGGTGGGGAGATAAACACTCTTAAAAACCGAGAGTTTTGCTTCCCGAGAAACTTTCGATCTGGCAACCACGGTTCGCCAAAGCTCCCACAGAACTGCAGAAGCCTTGGAGATGCGGTTGTCGATCTCGTTTCCGTATCGCCCATCGCTCGAGAACCAGACCTCGAGGTACTTGAACTTCTCCACCTGTTCCAGTGGGATCCCACTGACATGCAGGGTGCACCGAGCAGGATTTCTCAAAAGGACCATGACCTGTGTCTTGGAGACGCTCGGTTTCATTCCGGCCGCAGTGCATTCGGAGTCGAACCGATCGAGCACGCTCTGGAGCTCCTGTCGAGAGCTGGTCAAAAGAACGGCATCGTCGGCAAAGAGAAGTATCCTTACCGCGACGTCACCGATGTCGACCCCTTCCAGGCCGATGCTGCGCCTACAAATCCCATCCATGTACACGGGAAACAGAAAAGGTGAGAGGACACAACCCTGCCGGAGTCCAGCGCGTACCAGAAAACAATCCCCCGCTCACTCGGACGCAGCTTCTGCAATCGCAGTATAGGGACCGAACGGCCCGCAGTAGCCGTCCCTCGATCCCATACTCCTGCAGCATTCTCCACAGTTTTCCTCGGGGTACACGGTCGTAAGCTTTTTCAAGGTCCACAAAGCACATCTTTGGCATACTCCCAATGTCTCTCGAGGATCCGGTGGAGAGTGAACAGCTGGTGGTGGTACTGCGCCACGAACGAAAGCCGCACTGCCCCTCTTGGATGGCATCACCCACGACTGCCCGAGCCGAATGCACCAGCATCTTGGAATAGACTTTACCGGGTATGCCGAGGAGAGTGATCCCACGATAGTTCGTGCACTCCCTCCAGTCCCCCTTCTTAAAAAGAGGAACCACCCCACCGGTTTTGCCAATCTGTAGGTGCCGTTCCCGATTCCCAAGCAGCCTGACACACCCTATAAAGCCACGAGCCCCCATCTGTACCCATTGCTTTCAGAGTCTCTGCCCGGATTTCATCCACACCAGGAGATTTCCCATTCTTCAGGTTTCATTCACCACCCGACAAATAAAAAAATATTTGATCCGTCACCTGCACTGCTGCCTCTTGTACCTGTTCATCTTAAAAGTAACTTAAGAGTAAAAAGTAACTGAAAGAAAGTTTCTATACTTGTGTACTTATTTGCTGCTCATTGGATCGAGGATCAGATGAATCAAAACTTTTAATACAATGGCATGTTGTTCGGTATCCAAGTGGTCCTTATGGTAAGCAATCCCCCCTCCCTTCCTTTCGATCTTGACCAGCGGGATCAACCTTTTTACCTTTTTTTTTTTACACGAGATAATGATAGGAGGAAGGGACGTGTGAGGGGGCATGACACAAATCCTTGAAACGAGTAGAGCTGTCACGACGGCACTTTTCGAAACATCGATGCATCGACCTCAACTATCGTTAGAGAATCGAGCCATTGGATAATACGACAAGTTCAAGAACAGGGAATCGGGACACACGATTTAAAATATGGAATCGGGTGCACTTCCCCTTCGGGATCCACGAGATGAACTTGTTCTCAATTGTGGTCTCAGACCGATCCAGTTGATCGCCGTTTGTCTCATGCGAGGCTTTCATATAGCCAAGCATTTTTTCGAGTGAATTTTATCATTCCTCGAGGTGGTGAAGCGTTTCGCCTTCTAGGATCGTCAAGTTCATCATATCATCGGAAGGTTCCGAGTGAACTGCTTGAAGGAAAGCATCGCTGATGGGAAATCGGTTCATCTCCTTCCCCATTGGCTCATCTCCTTTCCCCGTTGGCCCATCTCCTTTCCCCATTGGTCCATTTTCTCCCAACACGAATGACGAATGTAAGCTCCAGGACGGGTGTCCAGGGTGAGACGGATAGATCGCACTTTTCGCCTTTTAAGTTAAAGTGTATGTAGGATTGTACATAAAGTGTTCTTCTTATTGCTTCTCTCGTTTAGGAACAATTAAAATAAACGAGAAACGCAATAAGAAGAGGACACTACATACCCAAAAATATTTAATTTTAGAAATTAAAACTATTTTTTTGGGGGCCATCCATTCGTCTTCACTCCCAAAGTGTGCCAATGGAACCATTGGCTCACGAACAAAAAAGTTTGGCTCATGAGTCATGGGTAAAAAAACATGGCTGTTGGAAAAAAATTTTTCCAAAAATCTTTGGCTCATGATTGAATCTTAATTTCCACGTTCAAAAATTTTACAAATGCATCGCGAAGGTGAAAAAAATGATGGCAATATTGAATCGACATTGGCTCATTATTGAAATGAGATAGGGCTCAACATCCCTGAGGTGTTCATGCAATGCTCCATTTGATTGCTGGTCGAACGGCAAAAAAAATTTCCTCGAATCATTGTCTGAATTTCCTCTCCATTCAAATGAAGCGAAAAAAATCAGGAAACACCAGATGTAGATTCTCGGCCGTAGCGAAAATGAAAGGAGAAAATGTCTAAAACTAACCCGAGGTCTCACGTTGTAAGTCTGCAATATAAAAAAATTACATCTATATAAAAATAAAAATCTCCCATACGTAGTCACATTATGGACATCCTGTATTATAGTTTGAGTGACATGCCAGCTGCAGGTTCGTCCTGTCCTCGCCATACACAACATGAAAATATGACCCAAATTAGCCAGCTTCCTGACGTCACTTTGACACGTGCGCTCAGTCCATTTCTATTCGTGCTTGACGTGGATGGATAGATGCTCGAAAACATTTGGTGCCCCATGCACTGAATTATTTGCAAACGTTTACCTGAACGTGGACTGGATGGGTCTTGCACAAACTGAAAAAAAGCAATTTTTAACATACACCATGCATACACCATGTTATCCTTCATGGTGTATGGAACTTGCCGGTATGTGCGTTTCAGCGCTTGTTTCCCCTTAAGAATACGTTGCCAACATGGCTTCAGATCGTCGGAAAACCCTCACCGAGTGCAAAAGAAAAAATGTGAAATAAATACCGTTTCCCTTTGGAGAAAGTTCAATATTTTTTTCCCGAGCGCTTCTGAGATAGAGCATCGACCCCGTCGCCGAACATGCCACGACACTCGTGTCAAAGCCAGAAGCGCAGGTTCCGTACCTGTCGATTGTCGTGTCCTCCACGACATGCGTCAAACGCTCGGGATGACTCAGAGATGGGAAATGTCAACGCCCACATCCTAAATTCTGTAAATGCCTCCACACCTTCCAAGACGAAATGCATTCGTAACTTCCAGTTCGCCCAACAGAAGCCCATCACTGCGTGGGATCATTCGAGCTTCCTGTTTCTGGTATTCTTTTCCTTTAGTTGCTTCTGATTTTGGTGGTACTTTCTGCGGTGAGGCAGGTGAAGGGAGACTACAACTACGCTTCGGTGAAACGGCTTTAATTTTGCCATATATTGGTATGTTCGAATTGATTGACTTAAAAATGCAAACGATCGTCTTCCAAAATCATATCAAAAAGCTGCTGGAGTTTCTTGTACATTTGACTACCCACTCTTGATTTATGGAAGATTTTGTCGAAACGGTGAGGATTTTATGAGGGAACAGGCATGCGACTGCTGCTGGAATTTCCAATTCCTCCAACGGCGAATAAAATTCCATCGAAGAACACGAGGCCGTGTCTGGAAAGTCCCTCCCGCCATGCTTGGTCACTCCTGCCACATCTCTATCGTCGTCTCAGACCGATCCAGTTGATCGCCGTTTGTCTAATGCGAGGCTTTCATATAGCCAAGCATTTTTTCGAGTGAATTTTATCATTCCTCGATGTGGTGAAGCGCTTCGGCATCCAGCATCGTCAAGTTCTTCATATCATCGGAAGGTTCCGAGTGAATTGCTTAAAGGAAAGCATCGCTGATGGGAAATCGGTTCATTTCCTTTCCCCATTGGTCCGTCTCTTTTCCCATATGACCCTTTTTCCAATATGACCCAAATTAGCCAGCTTCCTGACGTCACTTTGACACGTGCGCTCAGTCCACTTCTGTTTGTGCTTGACGTGGATGGATAGATGCTCGAAAGCATTTGGTTCCCCATGCACTGAATGATTAGTAAATGTTCACCTAAACGCGAACTGGATGGGTCGTGCACAAACTGGAAAAAAAAATGTAAATCTTTTCGGGGCTCTTGGCCTCCCCCGCCGCGCGTTTCTTCTTCCGTCGTCGTAGAAGTACACGTCTCTTTTGAGTCCACTCTCGTATCCTCGTTACGTATCGAGCCGATACTGATCAACAGCATCGGCTCGATATTAAAATGAGATAGGTCTCAATNCCATGCACTGAATGATTAGTAAATGTTCACCTAAACGCGAACTGGATGGGTCGTGCACAAACTGGAAAAAAAAATGTAAATCTTTTCGGGGCTCTTGGCCTCCCCCGCCGCGCGTTTCTTCTTCCGTCGTCGTAGAAGTACACGTCTCTTTTGAGTCCACTCTCGTATCCTCGTTACGTATCGAGCCGATACTGATCAACAGCATCGGCTCGATATTAAAATGAGATAGGTCTCAATATTCCTGAAGTGTTCATGCAATGCTCGAACTTGTCGGTTTGCGCGTTTCAGCGCTTGTTTCCCCTTCAAAAGTAAAAGTTTGAAATCAATACCGTTTCCCCTTGGAGAAAGTTCAATATTTTTTAAATGGCGAAGGACAAGAATTAAAGGACAACCGGCGACGAGCCTACTTTGGATTTTCTTCTGTGGATGATCTGGATTTATATATGTTGCATTTTCTCTCGTCCAAAGGCTTCTGTGTAGAGAAGCATAGCGAAAAAACGAATAGGGAAATGTCGGGAATATGCAAAATAAGAACTGGATGCGAAAATTTCTGAAGAGAAACGATTCCCGGCCGGAAAATTGATTTCAATTCGGTCCGGGTTCGCCGAATCCGCCAGTTTCACTTAGAAATTGAGGTTAATGTGTAATTCATTGACACCCTCGTGTCAGGAAACTTTCGGATGGACCGAGCATTCGCCGTCGCACAAAATGCGAGATGCGATGCTTCGGCTCACCGGAATTTCGCAGCCCCAGCGTGGTGCGGCCACCTGCAGGATCTCCTCATCCTCGCCAGACACTGCACGACCACGAGATCCGAATCAGCCGACTTCCTAACGTCACTTTCACGAGGTGGGCTTAGTCCATTTGCATACGAGGTGGTTGGAATGGAACCTTGCCCATTTTAGAATTGCAATACATTTTTCAGTTTTGGGGCAGCAAGAACGGTTTTTGTCCCAAAATATCTGAAGACCTGGGAGTTTTGTATTCCAGCAAAATCATATGATTTCCCCCCCCCCCCTTTTTCCTTATTAAAACACGTCATGAAACAAAACGAATGCGTGAATCTACAGATCCTGCAAAAGCTAAAAGTATTACTTCTCTGAAAACGTTGCCATAAATTACAATCTTACAACTTGATCGAACAAAATGACACCAGAGTGCTTAGAGTCTCAGATCATGGTGCAAAGAGAAATATTAAAAAAAAAGTCTTATTTTCGGAAGCAAATTAAGTGATTGCCATTCTAAACGCCCATGAGATAGCATTTACCCAAACCTGCGGTAGAAGACCACAAGCCAAATTTCTGAACGGGCGTGGCCTCTCCATTGCTGCGTCATGCGCTCATGGCTCACCAGACATAGCAAACAGATGGCATCAGGACGCCAACTTTTTTTGACGGAGTATTTATTCGGATCGTCCAATACGAGATGCTGTCATTACCTCCAGATTGTGGGACACACCTACCACTTCGCCGGAAGGAACCGATCGAGCCCGTCGGAAAATTGATACGCCATGGTAAGTTCACCAACGCCATCATGAAATGATTGCCGTAGTCGGTCGATCTTTAGCTAAGCGTTTGCCTCGATTACTTTGGATGTGTTTATGCCTTTCCTTCCCTCAGTTGCTCCTGCTTTTACTGGCATTTCTCGGGATGAGTCAAGTGAAGGGAGACTACGACTACGCTTCGGCGATACGACTCAGCTACAAGTTCTACGAAGCGCAAAGAGCAGGGCAGTTACCCGACAATCATATCCCTTGGAGAAAGAGTTCTTTCTTGAACGATGGAAGAGACAAAGGAATCAATTTGGTCGGTGGATACTTCGACGGTAAGTATCAAGTGTCTCGCTTCATCATATAGTTTCCATGTCGCGTAGACACTAATCGAGCGAAAGAAATAACTGGAATAACGTTGATACAGCCGGAGACTACGTGAAATTCGGTTTCCCGATGGCATATACGACCACCGTGCTGGCCTGGGGAATGGTCGAATACGCGAATGCCTACAACAAGGCCGGCCTTGCGGCGGCAGGGAGAGCTCAACTCCGATGGGCCACCGACTATTTCATTAAGGTATTTTCGAGTATTCCAAAGGACAAATTTTAGAATCCAGGCGCTCGTCCGAACATATCATGATGTCATTTCAGGCTCATCCTTCGGCAAAGAAGCTCTTCGGTCAGGTTGGGAAAGGAGATGTCGATCATTCGTATTGGGGTCGACCAGAGGATTGGCCGTCCAACATGGAAAGACCCTCGTATTTCATCGACGAAGACTCTCCAGGTTATATCTTCTCACGAGAAGTCCTGGAAGTTCGTTTCTTCGTACGAGTCATTTTTCTCGTTGAACATAGGATCGGACTTGGCGGCGGAAACGGCAGCAGCCATGGCTGCAAGCTCCATGGTGTTCAGAGGAAACGACGACACCTATGCGAACACCCTCCTTCGGCATGCGAGGGAACTCTATGCCTTCGCCGATGAGAATAGAGGCCTCTATTCCGACTCCATCACCGATGCTCAGGAGTTTTATCCGTAAGCATTCGATGATGGATCGTGGGATAATGAGGGTCCTCGGAGGAGATTCGAAAACCTGGACGCTTTAGGTCGAGCGCATACGAGGACGAACTGGCATGGGCGGCAGCATGGCTGTATCGGGCGACCCGAGAAACGTCTTACCTGAATGATGCCGAGAGGAAATACGTGGAATTTGGGCTGGACGACCGACCGTCGGAGTTCTCTTGGGACGACAAGAATGCCGGTGTTCAAGTACGTGCGTTTCTCTCGTGTAGAGCCAAGCTGCGGCTAGGTCGGCCTTCCTTGTAAAGGCAACATCAGTAGGCACGGCTTAAAGATTCACTCTAAGGGTTCTAAGCCGTCTTACGAGCCGTAGTCGACTTTTTACGAGCAGTGAAGACTCAAAATCATTCGTACAAGTCACATTAGCTTTTGCATCTTTCCAGCTGTGAGATGGCAGGAGTAAAATGCAAGATAAGAGCTGGAAATTGAAGTGATTGATAGATGCATTGAGAGTTGTTTGATTTATTTTCAAGTAAGTTGGCAAAGACTCACGTCCGGAGATGTAAAATAATGCGCCGCTGCAAATTTGGGCCTAAGATCTAGAAAAGGATCCTCAAATGAGATAAGATTGGCTGCCGTACGCAGGTACTTCTCGCGGTGTTGACCGGGAAGACGAAATACAAGACGGCAGTTAAAACCTTCTGCGACTACATGGTGAACGAGGTGCCTAGGACTCCGAAAGGTCTCGTCTTCATTCAGAAGTGGGGAGTACTTCGTCACGCAGCTAATGTCGCCTACGTCTGTCTCGTGGTAAGTTAGGAAACGAAATGTCTGTCGGAGTGTGTTTGTGTGTGTGTGTAATGGGGTTTGGGAAATAGTATTAATTCTGGAGTTTATGATTTTGATTAATGCACCAGAAAAACTTTTGACATTCACATATTTTTTTACGATGTTGATGAAGAAATAATGACAAATTAATCTTTTCATTTCAGTTTTACCATTGTATTATATTGCGTTTCATTGCAAAGCAGAGCGTGCCACATCTGTCACACCATGGTGTATGGTGACGAAATGTGGGAATGTGTAGCTCCTACGCATGAACAGAACCAGATGCACAGAATTCACGAACGGTGACACCAGTCCGTAGCAGATTTGATCTTGTTTGAATATGGAGAGCAATACCTTTCGAGTAGGAAAGAAAATTTTCTGGTTAAATTGAATCGTCCGTTTACACAAAAATGACCATAATAACGGACGACTGACTACGATGAAAATGTAATTATTTGTTTCCCAATTTTCAAGTGTATCCTGTTTTGCCTGCTTCGAAGTACATTGCGAAATCATTTTTTTCCGTTGAATATGATTATAATTCTTGTATGAGTAGCGCTGGACAATATTTGCAGTTTCAAAGTCCAATGCAAATGCTTTTCGCCCAGAGACATTGCTGGGCGAGTAGTTCACCATTAATGTGGAATGGTATTTTCACGTGCTGACGTTTTTCTAGTGGTCTGTTGCCTCGGTTTAAAAATTAGTCAAGTGACATTGATAGGAAATTTGGTAGCATAGGTGTCGTTCGAGTGGCATTGAGCCCCTGATGGAAGTGAAAGGGAAAGAATTTTTACTCACTGCTCATTTCTCGTCTGATAGGCAGCTCTGTTTGTCCGCTATTTGGTCCACCGAATAGCTTTAAAACGTTTCGTCGTCTAACCAATGTACAACCCTCTGTGGCCAATGTCGATAGTCTAACCTAAGCCGTGTTTAATGGGGGCTGCGGGAGTGGATACCTCTAGGTAAATGACTTCAATTCCGTTCGCCCCATAGATTATTTTGTTTGCATGAGTCGGTTTACTTAAAATATGGAGTCCAAGGAGTTTGAACAGGACCGCTTTGGTGAGTAACTTTCCAATGGCAGCTCCAGGGAAAAGCTTGTCTGAACGCTTGGTTGCCCATATCCGTGAGCTGTTGAAGGAGCTGAGTCGTCAGATCCTTCTGAAGAACATCAACGAAAATCTTCACAGGAAATAACAAAATAATAAGTTTGCCCCCACTGCCACCCCCAGATACTTGTTGTGCGAAGATACAGGGGCTGGGAGCTCAAAGAAGATTGCTCCCAACAGTCAGATTCTATTGCTGTGGCACCTAGTTTGATGTCCATACCAGTAAGGTGGTGATTCTCTATGATATGTATTTCTTTCTTGTCTTCTTCTGTAGTTCTTGTCCGACTGTTCAGGCGTGCGGTGGATGTCAATGCAGTTGGAGTTATTTTTACTCCCCGAATCCGAATCCGAATCTCCTCGAAGGGGCTCTCGTCGGCGGGCCGGACAAGCAAGATCGTTTCAAGGACGATCGTCACCTAATGTAGTTCACGCTCCAATGGGAGCTGATATTACGACCGAAAGTTCCTCGAGAACGGCCGGAGGAGTTACGAGCGTTAACTACCTGTCGCAAGCTCTACTTTATTTTACGTACAGTCTTACTTGTGTGTCCAGCATTTTTCAGCGGCTTTCACTCGAAGATGCTCGCGAACCAGGTCCACGCAGGTTTAACATTGTCGAAAGTCGTCCATTATACGACGAAGCACTTTCTCTGTTTTCCTTACACACAGTATGGTGCTCCCGCATACTGTTCAACAGCGGTAAATCTCTTTGACAATCTCTGTGGTCGTTGGAACGAACGACAAGGGCACATCGAGTGACCCTGGAGCTCATTTTTTCGTGAAGTTGTGAAGAGATGCTGTCGAATCGGCCAAAATTGTTCTGAATTCTACTTCATTCATATTTTTTTCTGTTAGGCGGCAAGCAAGCTGGGGCTAAACCGTGAGCTACGTCGTTGGATACGAGACAAAGCATCCTCCACGCCTTTACACGCCTCAAGGTAAATGTCGTCAACTCTGTCCGTAACAAAATAATCTCAGTAAATAGAGGAGGTTGGCAGCATTGAGTGCAAGTGGTATGGACAGAACTGCAGTGTCGAGTGAATATTCCAAGGAAGCTCAGGGAAAATAATTTAGATCCGCGAGATTCTATCGTAAGAGCGTATTGTGGGTGAGATATGAATACCAGTGTGAGGTGAATTCGTTTCTTTTTCGTGTCTTCAGGTATAGTTCTTGTCCGACCGTGGATGATTGCGAAGGATGTGAATGCGATTTGTGTTATTTTGAGACGACGAATCCGAATCCTCAAATTCTGGAAAGGGCTCTTGTCGCCGGGTAACGAATTTCAAGGACGATCGTTCGGATTCCAACCAGAACGAAGTTGTCCTCGACTATAATGCTGTCTTCCAAGGAAACGTTTCCGGTCTCCTCGATTCTAGCAAATTATGAAAGGCTTCCGATAAGAAATGAAAAAAAAGTATCTTGTCCTAGTTACTGGCATTTTTTCTTCACTAATGAACTTGAGATTTTTTAAGAGGTCTTCCTTGTCCCTCTCTCTCTCAACCGTTATCAGGTCATATCATAAGAGCGAACGATTTGCGAGAAAGGGAGCGAAATTGGAGAGAAACTGAAATTTCGCAATAAATTCTGTTAAAAGGAGGCAAGAAGTGATCGGCGTGATAACCACTTCGGTAAAAGATACTTATTTCTCGTTGTAAAGTGTAGAGGTAAAGGTGTTTCATGAAGACCTGTCTTATTTTTCCTTTACGACCTTTACTCTCTCCTTAACAAACATTAAATTTGTAGCAGTGATTCCATTTGTTCATTTTCTATATATCTTTATATAGGAAACACCCGGCAATTGGGATAAAATAGCTACAAATAAGAAGAGTAATGAATTTCACATAATAATCCTGCAAGCTCTCTCACAACTGATGGAATCAAATCTCTTCGCGACTTCCCATCCTTCACCATCGAAGACTTCCACGGAGGAATTTCCAATTCCTCGTTGCCGCTTATTTTAGGGTAATTTCTTGTGCTCCGGCACAGACCTTTCAGGGAGGCGGTACGAACCAGAGAGGACGGTGTAGAGATAACAGCAGAGTCTGGCTAGGTCATCTAGCGGCGAACAGATATGCGAGGCTTTCATATAGCTAATCATTCTCTCGAGTGAATTTTATCATTCCTCGATGTGGTGAAGCGCTTCGGCATCCGGCATCATCAAGTTCTTCATATTGTCACGGGTTTGGATTTGGGACTTGAATGTTGAATTAAGTTTAAAGGTAGCGGGCTTATGGGTTCGGTGCCCGTGACAAGCAGTGTTCCAACAAAAACAAGTGGATTCTCACACACACACACAAACACACATTTATTTATACATCACCATCAGGTGAAGACAAACCAGTGAATACAGGCCAGGGGAAGACAAACCAGTGAATACAAGCCAGGGGAATACAAGCCGGGGAAGACAAGCCGGTGAAATCAAGCCGGTGAAGACAAGACGGTCAAATTAAGCCGGTCAGAGCAAGCCCAAACATTCAAAGTTCGGAAAAATGTTTTCCAACCAGCCGTCTAACAAAAAGGTCACTGCTAGGCGGAAGGTTGGACACGTGGGAGAAACCCACATTATCAACTTAGGCCTAGGACTATATACATACCAGGCCTACACAGGTACACCAGTACACCGACTCAAAACACTGCTCTCTTGGGTGACAGTTAAAGAACACTATTTAGAATCTCTCTGTGACTCTCCACTTCGTGTACGGCCCTCCTTCACCGTTCCTTACCGCATCAAACGCGCAGTCGGAAGTGCAGAAGGTGGAGGTGTCACAACGGTCGGGCTCGTCCTGTGTTTATGTATATACCGGCACAACATTCACCCAAAAAGAATTGCCAAATATGGCCAAGAAATCCAGGTCCACTGAGGGATTGTGAACCACGGCTGGGCTGCACAGAGGTGTGAGGGGGTCCCCGATGTTAGTATGCAGTTGTGTTTTTGTAAGGTTTACACCTCTCTCACTGGTGGAGTGTTATAGTAGCCTTCCAAGGCTCACTTGACGAACTTCCTTTCGTAGCGACTACCCTTGTCGGCTCATCTCCTTCCCCATTGGCTCATCTCCTTTCTCAAGTGGTCCATCTCCTTTCCCCATTGGTCCATTTTCTCCCAACACGAATGACGGAAGTAGGCTCCAGGACGGCTGTCCAGGGTGAGATGGATAGATTGCACTTTTCGCCTTTTAAGTTAAAGTGTTTGTAGGATTGTACATAAAGTCTTCTTCTTATTGCAAGAGAGTAACCGAGTAAGAACTTTACTCTATCCCGAGTTGTAAGGACTCCACCAGTACGTTACGGGGTAAACTAACGACCAGCTTGCCGATTTTTACAGGAGCTTAGTAACAGACTTAAAAGAGAGCATTCAAATGAAGCGGAAAAAAAATCACGAAACACCAAATATAGATTCTGTAACGTATGCCGGCCTGTGACCGCAAGTCGTCGCATAGTCATCTCAGTTCCGCCCCTCCTCCGCCTTCCTCCACTTGCTTTTGTAGGTAGTTGTGCAGGGTCACAAACCCCAGTTGGTTGTGCATCTTCCCGAGGAATGTCAAATATACGTCCTAGTTTCCTTCTCGAATGTGCTACCCAAGCACTGTGCAAGGAGCCATATCATCATTATGCGAATGAGTATCAAAGTCCCTCCAATCAAGTCTCTTCACCCAAACCTATCATTCAATCCAGCAAGATTTCAGCTGGAGATCCCTTCCTCGATCCCTCACTCCGAGGTGCCGAGATTATTCTCATCATGGCGCCCTGGCAGGCAGCCTGTCTGTGTTTGTGAGCTCCTTCTTTTAACACTTTTGACTTCTCCCAGTGTTCCACCGGACCCCAGACTCGCTCGAATGTGGCGCGGACAGTGGGTCTCCTGACTCCGTGATCATCGTTGTGCCACCAATCCGATGAAAGTGACATATTTTACCGCCTGCTCTGTGTGCAATGGTCCTGATGGAAAACCATGCAAGCGATCGCCCTCCTTGCGACCCGAACGAATGACCTTGAGACGCAAAAACTGAGGTCTCTCAGGACTTATTCCCATTCTTCGTTATACGAGGTGAAATATAGTGCAAGGAAAACCCGTTTAGATGAAAATCTATTCTCCCTCCTAAAATCGCTTCGGCTGCTTCCAGCAAAGAGGAGAGGAAAACGTGGGGGGAAAAAGAATGACTGCANAAATTGGAGAGAAACTGAAATTTCGCAATAAATTCTGTTAAAAGGAGGCAAGAAGTGATCCCGCACTATTGGTGAAGCCATTTTCTATGAATAAAGAGCAACATTTCACATCTCCATTTCCACAAAGTACTTCTGGACAGAATAAAAAGGAAATGCTGGAAATGAGAGAGGAATTGTTTGTAATTTATTGTAGCAGTGATTCCATTTGTACATTTTCTATATATCTTTATATAGGAAACACCCATTGGGATAAAATTGCTACAAATAAGTAGAGCAATGAATTTCACATAATTGTCCTGCAAGCTCTCTCACAACTGATGGAATCAAATCTCTTCGCGACTTCCCATCGTTCACCATCGAAGACTTCCAACGGCGAATAAAATCCCATTAAAGAACACGAGGCCGTGTCTGGAAAGTCCCTCCGCCATGCTTGGTCTCTCCTGCCACATCTCTATTGTCGTCTCAGACCGATCCAGTAGATCGCCGCTTGTCTACTGCGAGGCTTTCATATAGCCAAGCATTCTCTCGAGTGAATTTTATCATTCCTCGATGTGGTGAAGCGCTTTGGCATCCGGCATCATCAAGTTCTTCATATTGTCACGGGTTTGGATTTGGGACTTGAATGTTGAATTAAGTTTAAAGGAAAGGCTTATGGGTTCGGTGCCCGTGACAAGCAGTGTTCCAACAAAAATAAGTGGATTCTCACACACACACACACAAACACACATTTATTTATACATCACCATCAGGTGAAGACAAACCCGTGAATACAGGCCATGGGAAGACAAGCCGGGGAAGACAAGCCGGTCAAATTAAGCCGGTCAAATCAAGCCGGTCAGAGCAAGCCCAAACCTTCAAAGTTCGGAAAAAATGTTTTCCAACCAGCCGTCTAACAAAAAGGTCACTGCTAGGCTTAAGGTTGGACACGTGGGAGAAACCCACATCATCAGCTTAGGCCTAGGACTATATACATACCAGGCCTACACAGGTACACCAGCACACCGACTCAAAACACTGCTCTCTTGGGTGACAGTTAAAGAACACTATTGAGAGAGAGAGACACTGAGAGGTGAAGCACATGCCGGGAGGAAGTGGCAAGGAATGGCGTAGTTTGCGCGTCAGCCTTCACGTCTTCCACCTCCACAGTGTTGCCAGCCCGAGCAGGACACAAATACATATAACCGGCACAACATTCACCCAAAAAGAATTGCCAAATATGGCCAAGAAATCCAGGTCCACTGAGGGATTGTGAACCACGGCTGGGCTGCACAGAGGTCACTCCCCCAGGGGCTACAATCATACGTCAACACAAAAACATTCCAAATGTGGAGAGAGTGACCACCTCACAATATCATCGGAAGGTTCCGAGTGAACTGCTTGAAGGAAAGCATCGCTGATGGGAAATCGGCTCATTTCCTTTCCCCATTGGTCCATTTTCTCCCATCACAAATGACGACCGGAGGCTCTAGGGTGAGACGGATTCTGCCTGGGGGACGGATAGATCAAACTTTTCGCCTTTTAAGTTAAAGTGTATGTAGAATTGTACATAAAGTCTTCTTCTTATTGTTTCTCTCATTGGCTCATTCTTGAAATGAGATAGGGCTCAACATTCCTGAGGTGGTCATGCAATGCCCCATTTGATTGCTGGTCGAACGGCTAAAAATGTCCTCGAATCATTGTCTGAATTTTCTCTCCATTCAAATGAAGCGGGAAAAAAATCACGAAACACCAGATATAGATTCTGTAACGTATGCCGGCCTATGACCGCAAGTCCAGCGTATCAGTAGAGTCAAGGCGGGGAGGAGGCGGAAGGAGGTGAACGAAAACATCCATCAACACGTCCCAGTGTTTGGGGTCAACCAACACGTAGAAGGGCTCCTTACAGTTTATATGCAGGATCCTTCCTTCTCGAATGTGCTCCCCAAACACTGTGCAAGGAGCCATATCATAATTATGCGAATGGGGAGCAAAGTCCCTCCAATCAAGTCTCATCACCAAAACCTATCATCCAATCCAGCAAGATTTCAGCTGGAGATCCCTCCCTCGATCCCTCACTCCGAGGTGCCTGAAGAGCTCGAACTCGAAGAAATCGAGTCAGTACCGATTTGACCGGGGTACTCGGGCCCTTTCAGATCGTGGGTGTTTTGAAAATGGCCGCCTTTCTCTCTATAAACATACAGAGGAACAACGATATAGTTAGAGGATTCGTTTCGCTTCGATGGTCGTGAGTTTTCCCCAGAACATGCAAGGTTTTATATGAAAGGAAGTGAAAATCAGCCCTTTGTCGTTGAGTGTACTGTAAAGGGGTTGGACTGGTTGTTTGGCTAACATTTCTTTTGTCTTTTTTTTATATAAATTATTTTTCTTTTTGGAAATACATTTTTTTGTTGTCTTGAATTACGCCTTAGTTACTCCCACTCGAATTTGAATTGGCACGGACCTGACTTCCTGGAAGGGGATTCATTGTAGTGGAATCGGGGCGCGTTAAGGTAAAGTCTCTATTTGAACTTAATTAATAGTTGATATTTTCAGAAATCCAACCCACTGCGCCTCGTGCCCGTTACAATTCTCGGCCGTAGCAAAATGGAAGGAGAAAATGTCTAATACTGACCCGAGGCCTGCACGTTGTCAGTCTGCAAAATAAATTTAAAAAAATTCTACATCTTTATAATAAAAAAAATCGCCCATACGTAGTCACATTATGGAAATCCTGTATTGCAGTTTCAGTGACATGCCAGCTGCAGGATCTTCCGTCCTCGCCATACACAATATGATAATATTACCTAAATTAGCCGGCTTCCTGACGTCACTTCGACACGTGCGCTCAGTCCATTTCTGTTTGTGCTTGATGTGGAGGGATAGATCCTCGAAAGCATTTTGTGCCCCATGCATTGAATGATTTGCAAACGTTCACCTAAACGTGAACTGGATGGGTCGCGCACAATCTGAAAAAAATGCAAATTTGAAGATAGACCATGTCATCCTTCATGGTGTATCGAACTTGCCGGTATGTGCGTCTCAGCGCTTGTTTCCCCTTAAGAATACGTTGCCAACATGGCTTCCGATCGTCGGAAAACCCCCACCTAGTGCAAAAGTAAAAATTTGAAATAAATACCGTTCCCCCTTGAAATAAGTTCAATATGTTTTTCCTGAGCCCTTCTGAGATAGAACATCGACCCCGTCGCCGGACGTGCCACGAGACGAGTGTCGAAGCCAGAAGCGCAGGTTCTGCACCTGTCAATTGTCGTGTCCTCCACGACAATGCGTCAAGCGTTAGGGATGACTCAGAGATGGGAAATGTCAACGCCCACATCCCAAATTCTGTAAATACCTTCACAGATTCCAAGACGAAATGCCTTCCTAACTTCCAGTTTTCCCAACAGTAGAATCCCATCACCGGGGAGGCGGAGGCGAGAAACCCCTTGCAGGAATAGAACTCGTGGTCTTGGATGAGGATGACGACGTCGCACCAGCTGGGTCCCTTCTTGAAAAACTTCGAAAGGACCTTCGCAAGGTCATTGTGATCGTCCAAGTCTTTGTCGATCGCAACTACTCTATCATTTTGCGACGCGCTTGTCATTTTTTCCGACGCAGTGAAATTCTTCTGACGCGAGAAGATGCTGATGATATTGAACGGTGACTTAACAAGACTGGATCTGCTACACACTAAAGAAAAGGACACCGTCGCATGAAACACAGCATGGATTGAAGCTGGCAGGACCTTTCCAAACGAGGGACAGGAGTTTCCACGTTTACGCGAGAGGAGAATGCATGGAGAGGAGTATATGAGATGGGATGATGTTGTCGTTATGGTATAAGGTATTGTTATCATGCCTGACTTGAGAGAACGGTCGAAGGTCACGCGTTGGGACAAAGTAGGACTGTTTTAGATTTCCATATTGCAATTTTTCTCCGATAAGAACTCAAAGAAGACTATATCCCCCTTGCACACAGAGTAGCCATATTGATTATGTTTAATATTCAATCATTGGGCATCTTTTCTATCAACTTGGTAATGATTGACCTAAAATCACAGAGTGTTCTGCACATTTGAAAGAAACTGTACAACTCACCAGAGTGACGGGTCAATATTGAAAACATGTGATGGTCCACGTTTGGAAAACATATTAAATTTGCAGACATCTACATGGTTGGGCAGATAAACCCAATCGGTTTTAATTTTGCTATATACTGTATTTGTATGTTCCAATTGATTGACTTGAAAATGGTGAATTACAGGGCGAAGTGCAAAAACAATTAAAAGACAACCGGCGACGAGACTACTTTGGATATTCTTCTGTGGATGATCTGTATTGATATTTTATTTTTTCTCTCGTCCATAGGCTTCCGGGTAGAGAGGCATAGCGAGCAAAACGCGAATTTCGAATTATCGGAATACGCAAAAAGAACTGGATACGAAAATTTCTGAAGAGCGTCAGAAACGATTCCACGCCGGGGGATGATTCCCATACAGTCCGGGTTCACCGAATCCGCCAGTTTCATTTGGAAATTGAGGTTAATGTGCAACCCATTAACACCCTCGTGTCAGGAAACTTTCGGATGGACCGAGCGTTCGCCGTCACACAAAATGCGAGATGCGATGTTTCGGCTCACCGGAATTTCGCGGCCACAGCCTGGTGTGGCCACCTGCAGGATCTCCTCATCTTCGCCAGACACTGCACGACCATATGATGCGAATCAGCTGGCTTCGTAACGTCGCTTTCACGAGGTGCGCTCAGTCCATTTGCATACGAGGTGGTTGGAATGGAACCTTCCCCATTTTAAAATTGCAATAAATTTTTTAGTTTTGGGGCAGCAAGAACGGTTTTTGTCCCAAAATATCTGAAGACCTGGGAGTTTTGTATTCAAGCAAAATCATGTGATTTTCCTTACTGACAATAATATATTCCAATATGAGTTGTTTCCTGTCATTCGTGGTACTTCACTCATTTATGTCACAAATTGTATACATTTTTATATTCCCTTTTTTACTTCTCCCTCATGAGGGAATGGATTCAAAACAGGATTAGAGGAAAAACGTTACTTATCACTTACATTTTGAACACATACATTACTAATAACGAAAAACGACGGCAGAAGTTGTTTTCCCCTCTTCCCTTATTAAAACACGGCATGAAAGAAAACAAAATCGTGAATATTGAATCTTCAGATCCTGCAAAAGCTAAAAATATAACTTCAAAGAAAACGTTGCCATGAATTACAAACTTACAAATTGATCGAACGAAATGACACCAGAGTGCTCAGAGCCTCAGCCCATGGTGCATAGAGAAAAATAAAAAAGTCTTATTTTTTAAAGCAAATTTAGTGATTGCCATTCTAAACGCTCATGAGATAGCAAACAGCCAAACATGCGATAGAAAATCACAAGCCAAATTTCTTAATGGGCGTGGCCTCTCCATTGCTGCGTCATGCGCTCATGGCTCACCAGACATAGCAACAGATGGTTTCCAGGACGCCAGTTTTTTAGACAGAGTATTTATTCGTATCGTTCAATACGAGATGCTGTCATTGCCTCCAGATTGTGGGACACACCTACCACTTCGCCGGAATAACCGATCGAGCTCGTCGGAAACTTGATCCGCCATGGTAAGTTCACCAACGCCATCATGCAATGATTACCGTAGTCGGTCGGTCTTCAGCGATGCGTTTGCCTTGATTAGTTTAGATGTGTTTCTGCCTTTCCCTCCCTCAGTTGCTCCTACTTTTCCTGGCATTTCTCGTGATGAGCCAGGTGAAAGGAGACTACAACTACGCTAGGGCGATACGGCTCAGCTACAAGTTCTACGAAGCGCAAAGAGCAGGGCAGTTACCCGACAATCATATCCCTTGGAGAAAGAGTTCTTTCCTGCACGATGGAAGCGACAACGAAATCGACTTGGTCGGTGGATACTTCGACGGTAAGTATCAAGTGTCTCGCCTTATCATATGGTTTTGATGTCGCGTAGACACTAATCGATGCGAAAGAAATAACTGGAATGACGTTGATACAGCCGGAGACTACGTGAAATTCGGTTTCCCGATGGCATATACGACTACCGTCCTGGCCTGGGGGATGATCGAATACGCTAATGTCTACAAGAGGCCGTGCCTTGCGGCGGCAGGGAGAGCTCAACTGCGATGGGCCACTGACTATTTCATTAAGGTATTTTCGAGTATTCCAAAGGACAAATTTTAGAATCCAGGCGCTCGTCCGAACATATCATGATGTCATTTCAGGCTCACCCTTCGGCAAAGAAGCTCTTCGGTCAGGTTGGGAAAGGAGATGTCGATCATAAGTATTGGGGTCGACCAGAGGATTGGCCGTCCAACATGGAAAGACCCTCGTATTTCATCGATGAGAACTCTCCAGGTTATATCTGCTCGCGATAAGTCCTGGAAGTTCGTTTCCTTGCACTATGATACGAGTCTTTTATCTCGTTGAACATAGGATCGGACTTGGCGGCGGAAACGGCAGCAGCCATGGCTGCAAGCTCCATGGTGTTCAGGGGAAACGACGACACCTATGCGGACACCCTCCTTCGGCATGCGAGGGAACTCTATGCCTTCGCCGATGAGAAAATAGTCCGCTACTCCGAATCTATCCCCGATGCTCAGGAGTTTTATCCGTAAGCATTCGATGATGGATCTTGTTATAATAAGGGTCCTGTGATGAGTTTCGAAAACCTGGACGTGTTACTGTAGTTCGACCTCATGCAAGGACGAACTGACATGGGCGGCAGCATGGCTGTATCGGGCGACTGGAGAAACGTCTTACCTGGATGATGCGGCGAATAAATACGTTGAATTTGAGCTGGACCACCGACCGTCGGAGTTTTCTTGGGACGACAAGAATGCAGGCGTTCAAGTACGTGCGTTTCTCTCGTGTTCTCGGTTCGACGCCGATCCAGCCGTAATGAGAATTTCCGTTATAGTCATCCTTGCCGAATTTCTAAGTGAGATTCCCATGATTCGACAGAATGCTCGGTATCAGCTGAAAAATGTTTGTCACTTCTCTCAAAATCATTCGTACAGGTCACATTAGCTTTTGGATACTTCCGGCTGTGAGATGTGAGGAAAAGAGGCGGGAGTAATATGCAAGATATGAATGTATTATAATTAGTTTTAAAGTTACCTTTTTCTTCCAAAGACCTAGAAAGTGATTTGTTTCTAGTGCGCGGCAACCTGCATCTGGTACCAAAATCAATGGGAAACCCATTTTTTTGGGCTTCAATTTCAAACCATATGGAACCACATGGAAACCCTGTCCACTTCCAAGCATTCAAATTAGAGGCTACGGTTGACTGAGAGCTCGAAATTAAAGTGATTGATAGATGCAGTAAGAATTGTTTTAGTTATTTTAAACTAAGTTGGCATAGACTCACGTCCGGAGATGTATAATAAAGCGCCATTGCAAATTTGTGCGTACGACCTAGAAAAGGATCCTCAAATGAGTTTTGACATGTCAATTGGCTGCCCTGTGCAGGTACTTCTCGCGGTGTTGACCGAAGAGGAGAAATACAAGAGTGCAGTTGAAGCCTTTTGCAGTTACATTGTGGACGAGGTGCCTAGGACTCCGAAAGGTCTCGTCTTCATTAGCGCGTGGGGAGTACTTCGTCACGCAGCTAATGTCGCCTACGTCTGCCTAGTGGTGAGTTAGGAAACGAAACGTCTGTCAGGAGAGAGTGTGTGTGAGTGTAACGAGGTTTCGGAAATTGTATTAATCATGTAATTCATGATTTTAAGAAATGCACCAGAAACAATTTTGACAATCATAATCATTAATCTTTTCATTTCAGTTTTTCCATTGTATTATATTGCGTTTGAATCCAAAGCAGAGCGTGCCACATCTGTGGCACCATGCATTATATGGTGACGAAATGCGGGAATGTGTAGCTCCTCCGCATGAACAGAACAAGTTGTACAGAACTCACGAATGGTGACTCCAATCCGTCGCAGATTTAATCATTTTTTGAATAAGGAGAGCAATACCCTTCGAGTAGGAAAGAAATTTTCCTGATTTTCCAAGAAAACGAGTCATACAAATATATTTATTATTCCAAGGAGGAAAAGAAATGAATAGGCATGTAATAGATTAAAAATGCACATGTATGTGATCTTATCATACCTGAATTTATCTCTAGGACCTAATGTAAGAAAGTCGATATAACATATTAGAATATTTTTGAACGATTTGGATTCTTGAATGAACACAGTATATTTTCTGGGAATATGTGTAAATCTGCTTTAGCGTCATTTATAAACAAGCCGTTACGTTTTGTTCATATTCCTTTTGCCTCGAGTTCCGATAAAGAATCCACATCATTCAGTGAGTACCGGGTTGCAAGTTTGTTGCAAACCCTGTTTAAATTTAAATTAATTAATTTCTTTTTTTGTCTGATAGGCAGCGGACAAACTGGCGATAAACCAGGAGGCTTATCGAAATTTTGCAAAGCAGCAGATCGATTACATGTTGGGAGACACCGGTTACAGCTATCAGATTGGATTCGGCACAAATTGCCCTCGACGCCCTCACCATGCCTCTAGGTAAACCACTTCAATTCCGTTCGCCCCATAGATTATTTCAGTTGCATGAGCCGGTTACTTAAAATATGGAGTCCAAGGAGTTTGAATGGGACCGCTGTGGTAAGTAACTTTCCAATGGCAGATTCAGGGAAAAGCTTGTCTGAACGCTTGGTTGCCCATATCCGTGAGCTATTGAAGGAACTGAGTGGTCAGATCCTTCTGAAGAAAATCGACGAACATCTTCGCAGGAAATAAGCGCCTAAATTCTCTATTTGTCCAAAGTCATGAAATCTCTGAGCAAGAATTTACAGAAAACAAAGTAGGTCGTTAATAAACCCTACCTGGAGCCATAGTCGCTAGATGAGTTTGCCCCCACTGGCACCCCCATTTCTCTAAGCAGTGGTACTTAGTTTGATGTCCATAACAGTAAGAGGTGATTTTCTTTGTGTTTCTTTCTTGTCTTCTTCTGTAGTTCTTGTCCGACTGTTGAGGCGTGCGGTGGATGTGAATGCAATTGGAGTTATGAGGCCACTCCGAATCCGAATCCGAATCTGCTCGAAGGGGCTCTCGTCGGCGGGCCGGACGACCAAGATCGTTTCACGGACAACCGGACGGATTTCGTCACGAACGAGGTTACCCTCGACTATAATGCTGGCTTTCAAGGAGCTCTTGCCGGCCTCCTCAATGCTCGCATTTGATGGACAGCGTCCGAGATGAAATAAAATGCATGTCAGAATGAAGTATGTCCAGCATTTTTCAGCGGCTTTTACTCGAAGACGCTCGCGAACCACGTCTTCGCATGTTTAACATTGTCGAAAGTCGTCCATTATACGATGAAGCATTTTCTCTATTTTCCTAGCCAACAGTAGCTTGGCTAAGCCAAGAAACATTCAGGAGTCAGAGCTTTTGAATTACGGAAAAATTAGTGACATTCCATATATAGGATTCTTCCCTTCAATAGACGAAATTTCGAAAAGCGGTTGTGCTTGAAGACAGTTCAGTACAGTCTGTGGGCGACTATTGATGATAACGCTGTAGTTCTCGCAAGAATGCGATGCGTGTCGCCAGTCCTTCGTTCAAGTCCAGAAATTTCTCACATTTCTTATTATGAATGATGATGACAGTTTCTCCTGAAATTGATCATTTCAGTATAATTTTTCATATAAAAGTCTTTTATTTGGGTTGCTATGCCTGTAAACATCCTTGCGAGAAAACGACACGGATGGGAATTTCCGAGAAATGCTTGCTTTTCAAATTTTGAAAAACAACAGATTCCTCTCGTGGACATGTCCTCGATGCGTGCGGAACGATGTTGACGAGCTGCAAACAAGTGTAAGAGATTGTATTCTATTTGGAGAATCAGTTGCAAGGCTTAAGGAAGTTAAAAAGAGAACCCAGGTAGCATTAGATATCCTCCGTACGATCGCAGATTTTCCGCGCCGGACGTAGAGGCTTACGTGGGACATCCGCTCGGTACATGATGCAGATATCCAAATGCAACAGCTCTAGATCATCCGCTGGACATCCTCCTGAGATTCCTCCGAGTAGGTTCGGAGGAAATACTCCGGATATTCGCGTGATTTCTTCGTGCGTAGTTGCAGCAGATCATAGGTACAGGTGGATGCAGTCCATTTCTAAATTCTCCCGGTTTCTTGAGTAATTTAATTTAAAAATATGACGTGTCTATCAAACGTTCTACAAGTTTCGTCTCATTTTTGTGATCTCAGGATGTATAGTGTTGATTTGGACAAGTGCATTTAAGTGCTATCGAAATGGTGAGCTGGATGTAAATTACCATCAAAAGTTGACTTCGCTATTCATGTAAATCCAAGAACCATCAGCTGGTATGGATAGGAAACCCAGTTGCATATTGTGTTGATATTTCAATGATGTGAATAAAGATAATTTACCATATTGAAATAATATAATGGGGAGAGTTATTATTAATCATGGTGAGAGTGAACACAGCCAAAATTGAATGGAGATTCATTGATCCATTTATTCATTCTTAATGGAAAGTAGCCATGTATCTTCAGTTACTCTCACATTCAACTCCCTATCTATGCAGATGATCATCCCCCTGGCCTCCTTCTCCTCAACCGTTGACTCGGCTTTTCTGATCATTTCGGTGACATCAAGTAGGGCTTGTTTCTCCACAGAGCAACTACGAAAAAAACAGAGGTCCATGAGACATAATACCAGGTACTTCTTGAATTCTAAAGCATGTACTATGCATTGTGAACTTCAACTCCTTTCTGCCATGCCACCCTACCATAGGAGGGGTATTAAATATTTTGAAACATACGTGAATCATTGTGAGAGGGGTTCATAGGATTTTGCAGTTAGTGCTAAACAATATCCAAAAATATGAAACTCACTGGGGACACTATATGGGATGCAGTTTAGGTTTAAATTCTGGCCATGTATTGTACTGGTCCATAACCAAAACATAATCTCTGATTTCCTTTTAAAGGGAGAGTTCCATGGAGAAGTGAAATTTATAAGGGTTCCTAATTTTTCACTGCATTCCTGTTTTAAGGTTGGAAAGTCCCAACCTTGATCAAATTTCAATTATCAGGTTCACATTTTAATACACGAATCTACTGGGTTCTCAGACCCCTTTTATGTTCCTCAATAATGTTTTACATGAAACCTTGTGACTTGTACATATGATAGGAGCAAAAAGGATATTCCTGTCTATATTTCCTGGTATATGTGATTTCACACAAGGTGTTATGCCTTCACCCAGATATTGAATGCTGTGCGCCAACCATGAACTTTCACAGCTATATCTTCAGGACAAAGTTATGTACTTTTCTTTCCAAATAAGAAACAATGAATTTCAATACATGAATCAATATGATGAATGACTTTTGAAAAGTTACAAATGAATAATGTTAACTAGTTCTATTGCTCAGCTATTTCTCTCAAAGTCAAACTGAAGTCCCATGATGTCTTATGTGATAACAAGATTCTATGAAGTAATAACTTCCTTTTTTTCCCTCATGAACTCTTTTGAGATTACAAGGATCATCTTGAAAAAACACCATGATCCCTCATGTCCCCTCAAAAGGGGCCCTTGCATGATATTCCCCCCCCCCTCCCCCACCCAAAGAAATATGTCTACAGGAAAATCAAAATCGAGATTAAGAATACACAAGGAGTTATACTCATTGATAAAAGCAATACAGTGGAAGGACTTCAAGCCTGTGCTTTCCCTTTCTGTCCTCTAAGCTGAAAAGGTTTCCAATCTCGTCACAAATCTCGCCTTCAGGATGCCGCTTGTTTTCTCTCCAATAGAACTGTCTCTAATCCCTTGCCAGTAGGATACCTATTAATGACATGCAAACATTCACTGCTTCAAAATACACCAAAGTTTGAGGGACTCAGAGAAGACAGACTTCCTTCATTGGGAATCACATATTAACAACTGATTTCTTGCTAATTTCAGTTACTTCTTATATAGGGTGAAAATTGAAGTGCTCCCTTTTGACTGATGCACAATGTGAAACTGAATATTAGTATCAAGAAGATTCACTAATTCTTTAGCAATAGGCACAATAAAAACAGAACTTTAATGCATGCCTCATTATGAAACTTTACAAATTCACAGCCAAGAGCAGTTGATGCCTGTCAAAAGGAAACAAAAGATAATACTTACAAATAAGAACAGCTGGGCCACATGGAAAAGGCAAAATATTGAAATGTCACACAAGTCACACCTCTACATCTGAGGAGTTGAGAATCCAGTATGGCCAACTGAGACCAATGACATGCTTTTCTGTAGCCCTGTGTAACGGGCCGACACCCTTCCAGTCATGTCGTCCAGGGGAAAGGAAAGGAGGCATGCTAATTGAGGAGACGGACGGCAGTCAGTGGGATAAGCAGAGGAGACAAGGGGAAAACGTATGAGGGGACATTATCCCCGGGATGCCGGATCTGGAACACCATCCCAGCTCTTCCAGAGGTGACCTCCGGTCAGGATCCGGATGACAATATCTTCGGACATCCCTGTCCAGAAAACCCATGGTTTTATATAAACCAAGGGTTTATGAGACAACCTCATTCCCAAAACCATTGGTTGGACAGGTACATGTTCGGAGATACGGATCCAGAAATTAATGAAGATGATTTTGTCCCCGAATGCGTTTCCCAATAAGAACTGTTCCTGGAAATTGGACAACCAATGGGCGCGAGCTACCACCTAAGAACCCCTCCTCCAGGAACCTCCTCTGGACCCGGAAGAAAAAGGAAGAAATTTCGTCCCAGAAGTTCAGTCCCTAGTGAAGCGAGGGGACTCGGCCCTGCCCTTGATTGTGGAGTCTTCACACTCAGTCCGACCAGAGTGTTAGTGCCCCGTTCGACCCGTAAGAGTAGGTCTCTGGGGCATGAACACCACCCTTAGCCCTTCTCTCAATCTCTAAATTGAAAAAGGATAGTAAAACTGTCCTTTTCTCATGGAAATGGTTTTATCCTTGATATCTGAACCAGATTCCATTAGTGTTCAAGAATCTCTTGGAAGTGCTGAGTGATACAGAGTTGTAGGATGTAGAGCAATTCATTCACTTCAGTGAGACATAGAATGCACTCAAATTTTGGCCCATTTTTTGCTATTTGTTAAGACGACTTTAACTGACTTCAGTAAGAGAACATGATCCTGAAAAAAAAGTACCTTCAGGTGCAGCAGATTTACTTTGGAGAAGGATTCCTTCAAGTGTGGATCTTGGGTCAGAGAGCACAAACCTTACATGTAGCATTTCATCATCTAAGTATGTAGGGCAGTGGGCTTGGCCAGTTGGCAAACTACATAAGGCCTAGGTCTCATCTCCTTCGCTCTTCAGATTTCTTCAAGAGGCAGTGTAGAACCATCATGAACATGAGAAACTGATTTACCAGGTTGATGGCAATTTCCATGCTTCCAATTGCTGCTTTCTTAGGTAATACGAAACGAGAACGCGAAAGGATGGCTTCACCACAGTGTGCTTACAATGAGGTACCATTTCATTACCTGTCACAAAATCAGTGCAGTATAAAATGAAAGACAGAAATCACAGATTCCATTAGACTACCATGTGACAAGTCTTCTCAACACCTCATGAGGTAAGCATGAATAGAGACATTAGGTATGATATTAATATTTATTATTCCAAGGAGGAAAAGAAATGAATTGGCATGTAATAGATTAAAAATTCACATATATGTGATCTTATCATACCGGAATTTATATCAAGGACCTAATGTACGAACGTCCATATTACAGAATATTTTTGAACAATTTGGATTCTTGAATGAACCCAGCATATATTCGTGGTATGTGTGTATATCTGCCTTGGCGTCATTTATCAACGAGCCGTTACGTTTTGTTCATATTCCTTTTGTCTTGTGTTCCGATAAAGCCTCCCCCCCAGGTGAAGGGAGACTACAACGAAGCTTTGGTGAAACGGCTTTAATTTTGCTATATATTCGTATGCTCCAAGTGATTGACTTAAAAAAGCAAACGATCGTTTTCTAAAATCCTATGAAAAACCTGGTGGAGTTTCATTCACATTTGACTACCCACTCTCGAGCTACAAATGATTCTGTCGAAACGGTCAGGATTATGAGGGAACAGGCATGAGACTGCTGCTGCGGGACGCTGTTCCGCATTGGCGTGGGGATGCCGGGAAATGTATGCACGTGCTTGATATCGTCAGATGGCGATGAGCACTCATTTCACAACGCCCTGTTCAGTGTTCATGATGAGATGAGAGCGAGAAAGATAAATTACAGAGCGAAGGACAACAATTAAAGGACAACCGGCGACGAGACTACTTTGGATTTTCTTTTGTGGATGATCTGGATTTAGAATTTATATTTTCTCTCGTCCATAGGCGTCCGGGAAGAGAGGCATAGCGAACAAAAAACGAATTGCAAATTGTCGGGAATATGCGAAAAGAACTGGAAGAGAAAATTTCTGAAGAGAAACGATTCCCGGTCGGGGAATGATTCCCATTCGGTCCGGGTTCGCCGAATCCGCCAGTTTCATTTGGAAATTGAGGTTAATGTGTAACCCATGAACACCCTCGTGTAAGGAAACTTTCAGACGAACCTTAGACCGAGCATTTGCCGTCACACAAAATGCGAGATGCGATGTTTCGGCTGGCCGGAATTTCAAGGCCACAGCGTGGTGTGGCCACCTGCAGGAACTCCTCATCCTCGCCAGACACTGCACGACCACGTGATCCGAATCAGCTGGTTTCCTAACGTCGCTTTCACGAGGTGCGCTCAGTCCATTTACATACGAGGTGGTTGGAAAGGAGCCCTGCCCATTTTAGAATAGCAATAAATTTTGCAGTTTTTTGGGGCAGCAACAACGGTTTTTGTCCCAAAATATCTTAAGGCCTAGGAATTTTGGGCTCCTATAACATCATATAATTTCTTTTCATCGGGTCTGAGAATAAGTTATTCCAATATCAGTCATTTCCTGTCATTCGTGGTACTTCAATCATTTATGTCGCAAATTGTATACATTTTTATATTCCCTTTTTTACTTCTCTGCCAGATTCGCCAGAATGCTCGGCATCAGCTGAAAAATGCTTGTCACTTCTCTGAAAATCATTCGTACAGGTCATATTTGCTTTTGGATCCTTCCCCTGTGAGATGACAGAAAGAGAGTCGGGAGCTATATGCAAGATAGGAATGTATCATATTTCGTTTTAAAGGTTACTTTTGTTTTCGAAAGACCTAGAAAATGATTTATCTCTCGTTCGGGGCAACGTACATCTGGTACCAAAGTCAATGGGAAACCATCTCTTGGGCTATAATTTAAAACCGTGTGGAACCACATGGAAACATGTCCACTACAAAAGATTCAAATTTGGGGCTACGGCTGACTGAGAGCCCGAAATTGAAGTGATTGATAAATGGAACAAGATTTGTTTGAGTTATTTAAAACTAAGTTGGCAAAGACTCAAGTCCGGAGATGTAAAAGAATGCGCCATTGCCAATTTGTGCGTAAGACCTGGAAAAGGATCCTCAAATGAGTTTTGACATGTCAATTGGCTGCCCTGTGCAGGTACTTCTCGCGGTGTTGACCGAAGAGGAGAAATACAAGAGTGCAGTTGAAGCCTTTTGCGACTATATATTGTATGACAAGACTGAGGTGAAGAGGACACCAAAAGGTCTCGTCTTCATTGGGGAGTGGGGACCACTTCGTTACGCAGCTAATGTCGCGTACGTCTGCCTCGTGGTAAGTTAGGAAACGAGACGTCTGTCTAGAGTGCTTGTTTGTGAGTGTGTGTAAGGAGGTTAAGGAAATACTTTTAATCCTGTAATTCATGATTTTAACAAATGCACCAGAAATACTTCTGACAATCATATGTTTTCACGATGCTGATGAAAAAATGACAAATTAATCTTTTCATTTCAGCTTTTCCGTTGTATTACATTGCGTTTCAATCCGAAGCAGAGCGTGCCACATTTTTCGCACCGTGCATTATATGGTGACGAAATGGGTAAATGTGTAACTCCTCCTCATAAACAGAACCAGTCGCACAGAACTCACGAATGGTGACTCCAATTCTTTGCAGATTTTATCTTGTTTGAATAAGGAGAGCAATACCCTTCGAGTAGGAAATAAATTTTCCAGATTAGATTGAATCGTCCGTTTACACAAAAATGAGAATAATAACGGATGACTGACTACGATGGGAATTTAATAATTTAATTTCTTATTTGAATTGCCTCATGTTTTGCCTGCTTCGAAGTACATTGCGAAGTAATTTTTTTTTCATTGAATTTGATTAGAATTTTTGTCTAAGTCGCGCTAGACAATATTTGCATTTTAAAAGGCCAATGCAAATGCTTTTCACCCAGAGTGCTGCGGGACTAGTTTGAAATTACAATGGAATGCTATTTTCACGTGCTGGCGTGTTTCTCGTGGTCTCTTGCCTCAGGTAAAAAATTAGTGAAGTGACAGTGATAGGAAATTTGGTAGCATACGCGTCGTTCGAGTGGCATTGAGCCCCTGATGGAAGTGAATAGTGAAAATATTTAAATTCGGAAAACATAGGTTATTTGGATATAATTAGGAGGAATGGCAGCAGCTCAAAGAGGATATCCATATTTCCAAGAAAACGAGTCATAAAAATATATTTATTATTCCAAGGAGGAAAAGAAATGAATTGGCATGTAATAGATTAAAAATGCACATGTATGTGATCTTATCATACCTGAATTTATCTCTAGGACCTAATGTAAGAAAGTCGATATAACATATTAGAACATTTTGGAACGATTTGGATTCTTGAATGAACACAGTATATTTTCTGGGAATATGTGTAAATCTGCTTTAGCGTCATTTATAAACGAGCCGTTACGCTTTGTTCATATTCCTTTTGCCTTGAGTTCCGATAAAGCTTCCATATCAGTCAGTGAGTTCCGGGTTGCAAGTCTGTTGCAAGCCCTGTTTAAATATCAATTAATGTCTTAATTCACTGTTCATTTCTCGTCTGATAGGCAGCCGACAAACTGGCGATAAACCAGGAGGCTTATCGAGATTTTGCAAAGAAGCAGATCGATTACATGTTGGGAGACACCGGTTACAGCTATTTGATTGGATTCGGCACAAATTACCCTCGACGCCCTCACCATGCCTCTAGGTAAACCACTTCAATTCCGTTCGCCCCATTGATAATTTTGGTTGCATGAGCCGGTTCACTTAAAATTTGGAGTCCAAGGAGTTTGAATGGGACCGCTGTGGTAAGTAACTTTCCAATGGCAGATTCAGGGAAAAGCTTGTCCGAACGCTTGGTTGCCCATATCCGTGAGCTGTTGAAGGAACTCAAGGATGATTGCTCCCATCAGTCAGATTCTATTATTGTGGCACTTAGTTTTATGTCCATACCAGTAAGAGGTGATTTTCTATGTGTTTCTTTCTTGTCTTCCTCTGTAGTTCTTGTCCGACTGTTGAGGCGTGCGGATGTGAATGCGATTCGAGTTATGAGACCACACCGAATCCGAATCCGAACCTGCTCGAAGGAGCTCTCGTCGGCGGGCCGGACGACCAAGATCGATTCACGGACAATCGTACGGATTTCGAGACGAACGAGGTTACCCTCGACTATAATGCTGGATTTCAAGGAGCTCTTGCCGGCCTCCTCAATGCTCGCAATTGATGGACAGCGTTCGAGATGAAATAAAATGCATGTCAGAATGAAGTGTTTCCAGCATTTTTCAGCGGCTTTCACTCGAAGACGCTCGCGAACCAGGTCCACGCAGGTTTAACATTGTCGAAAGTCGTCCATTATACGACGAAGCACTTTCTCTGTTTTCCTTACAAACAGTATGGTGCTTCCTCATGCTGTTCAATAGCCGTAAATCTCATTTACAATCTCAGTGGTCGTTGGAACGAACGACAAAGGCACATCGTGTGACCAGCAAGCTCCTCTGATTTGACTGCTAAGCCAAGAAACATCAGGAGTTGGAGGTTTTTGATTCATGAAAAAATTAATGACATTCCATAGATAGAGTTCTATCCATTAATTGACGAAATTTCGAAAAGCGGATGTGCTTGAAGACAGTGCAGTGCAGTATGTGGGCGACTATTGATGATAACGCCGTAGTTCTCGCAAGAATGCGATGCGTGTCGCCAGTCCTTCGTTCAAGTTCAGAAATTTCTCGCATTTCTTATTGTGAATGCTGATGCCAGTTTCTCCTGAAATTGGTCATTTTATTAGAATTTTTCATATAAAAGTCTTTTATTTGTGTTGCTATGCCTGCAAACATCCTGGCGAGAAAACGACACGGATGGGAATTTCCGAGAAGTGCTTGCTATTCAAATTTCGAAAGACAAAGTTTCCTCTCGTGGACATGCCCTAGATGCGTGCGGAACGATGTTGACGAGCTGCAAACAAATCTACGAGATTGCGTTCTATTTGGAGAATCAGGGGCAAGGCTTAAGGAAGTTAAAAAGAGACGCTGGGCTTGAGAAGACATTCTGGTTGCGGTAATGGATCGTCTAATAGTGGCAGTGGCAGATGGACTTCAGTCGGGATTGCTTCTGGGGAATGAAGTGCTTCTACCATTTCCATCGACCGCCGTAGTACCGGACGGCAGAATCTCCAGGGATAGGGTTTACGAGTCCGACTTTTGGTCACAGCCTCCTGAAGGCTGTGACCAAACTCCTGAAGGCTGCCTGACGATTTTCAAGGAATGGATCCTTCGCTGTCCATTCTCTTTTTACCTTCCTATAGCCTCGCCTCATACCTACAGGCAATGTACAATACTTCGGACTCAAGTCTTTATGTTCCCTGCTTCTGGGTCAGACGTTTGGGCATTTTCTACTACCCTTGGATATTTTCGCAAAATTTCGGCAACAAATAACTTCTTTCACTCTATCTTGGTGGTGGGCTGGTTACTGCCCAGTCAGGCAAATGCCTACTTAAGCATTATCTTTCCTTAAATATAGGTTCATTACTTTATATACCAACATATATGTATGTAGAAATGTGAAAACCAATTTTCCAAGTTTTGCCTTTCTTCAACCTTAACCTAACCCATTCCCCTCCCCAAAAAACTCTCTAACTTAAACTCACTAAACCCTAACCCTAACTAAAAACTCACTAACTTAAGATCAAGGCCTAACTGACGGACTGTCCTCGGATCAGGCCTAGGATTACCTTTTTACTTCCCAAAGAAACTCAATCCTCTGCCAACGGATCGATTGGGCGCATGAGGATTAATCCTTAGTCTTCCAGACACCTCGTCGAGGATTAATAACGTTAGGCCAATCGCAGGCCTATTCAGTCCCTCATGGCCCATTTGACAGAGAACGTGCAACGTTAGACCGATTGTAGGTCTTTTTCGAGTTTCATGAGCGATTTCAGTGCTGTAGGGGACATTAGGCTTATCCAGAGTTCCTCGAATCGTCTCGACTCGTTCCGAGAAGGTACTTTTAGACAAATGGGCCTACAAAATAAAATAGTAGCCACATCAATACAATTTTCAAAAAAGACGCCCGAAGACAGTCACTTTATGGACATTCTGTACCATGATTTCAGTGACCTGCCCGCTGCAGGATCTCCCCATCCTCGCCATACACAACGTGAACGCATGACTCAAATTAGCTGGCTTCTTGACGTCACGTTTACCAGGTGCGCTTAGTCTATTCCTAAGTGAATTTCGCGTGAGCGGCTCGAAAGCACTTGTTGCCTCATACACTTAATAACTTACATCACGGAACTCGCTATTGAAGGTTCCATCGACGAAACTTCACCCTATTCTGTAGCGTAAGTCTGATAATTAACACACCAGAATAATTTGTGTTTGAAATTGCTGAAGGAAGAATGTTAAATTTCAATGCTGTAATACTCCTGAATTGCTGGAATGGGACGTTTGCTTCTCAGGCGTTGCTCATAGAATTAGTGGCTCCTATAATAGGAACAGGAATTGGGTGCCCACGTGCTTCCTCTCGCCCTTGCAACAGTAAAGCCAATTTGATGGGATTATTTTTCGTTTTCGAGTTTTTGGCAGCAAGGGGTTGAGTTGGAGATTTCGAATAGTTCCGTTCTCCCAACTCCCCTCCATCGTTTTGGAAAGCATTTTCGAAAGACCTCAGCTCAGGTCACCTGATCACAGCTCCTCCCACAATCTCATCCTCTGTTTGTTCTCGTCCGAGTCCGCATGCGTTGCTCTACGCAATCACGGGACATGGTCGTGGCCTGTCGTTACTGAACTCTTGTCGGCCTACCAGTGTTCGTAAGTATTATAAGTAAGTATTCGGTGTGGGATGGTGGGGAGAGAAGGGTCCTCGGATAATATTCGCAATCATGGATATTTCAGGTCGACTGGATACGAGGACGAACTGGCATGAGCGGTAGCATGGCTGTATCGGGCGACTGGAGAAACGTCTTACCTAAACGATGCCGAGAGGAAATACGTTGATTGCCGAATTTTTTAGTGAGATTCCGAAGCTTCGCCAGAATGCTCGGCGTCTGCCGAAAAGTGCTCTTTAGCTCTCTCGAAATCAATCGCATGGGTCACATTTGCTTTTGCATCCTTCCAGGTGTGGCAAGAAAGGAGGCGGGAGAAATGTGCATGATGTGATGGTATCATAATTACTATTAAAGCTTCCTTTTCTTTTCAAAAGACCTAGAAAGTGTTTGCTCGCTATGGCGCGGCAATCTGCAGCTGGTACCAAAGTCAATGGGAAAAACTGCATATTCCTTCTAAGCATACCAGTTGTATATGCTGCTTCTCTTGGGTACAATTTAAAACCATGCGCAACCGCATGGAAACCCTGTCCATTTCCAAAGATTCGAATAAGATGCTACGGTTGATTGAAAGCTCGAAATTGAAGTTATTGATAGATGCATTAGGAATTTCTTGATTTTTTTTAGACAATGTTGGCAAAGACTGAAGTCCGGAAATGTAATACAATGCGCCACTGCAAATTTGTGCCTAAGATCTAGAAAAGGATCCTCAAATTAGATTTGACATGTCAATTGGCTGCCCTGTGCAGGTACTTCTCGCGGTGTTGACCGGGAAGGCGAAATATAAGACGGCAGTTGAAACCTTCTGTGACTACATGGTGAATGAGGTGACGAGGACTCCGAAATGTCTCGTCTTCATTCAGAAGTGGGGAGCACTTCGTCAAGCAGCTAATGTCGCGTTCGTCTGCCTCGTGGTGAGTTAGGAAACGAAATGTCTGTTGGAGGGGGTATGTGTGGGTGTCTGTGTGTGTCTTTGCAAGGGGGGTTTGGGGACCCCCAGACCTCAATTTGTCTAACCAGCACTCAAACCACCGCAGACATTTTCCTGTCATTTTTAGTATTTGTCCTTTAAGTTAAGGACACGAGGACAAGTCATTTGCAATCTCAGTGGTCCTTGGATCGGGCGACAATGGCACATCGAGTGACCCGGGAGCTCCTCTGACTTGACTGCTAAGCCAATTTAAGCGAATATAATAAGCGAATTTCTTTGTTTCAGTGTGCTACTTCGGTAGGCCTATCCAGAGTTCCTCGAATCGTCTCGACCCGTTCCGAGAAGGTGTCTTTAGACAAATGGGCCTACAAAATAAGATTAAAAGTCTCCCGAAGGTAGCCACTTCATGGTCACGCTGTGCCATGATTTCAGTCCTGCCTGCTGCAGGATTTCCCCATTTTCGCCATACGCAACGTGATCGAATCCCGCAAATCAGCTAGCTTCTTGACGTCACGTTTACCAGGTGCGCTCAGTCCATTCCTATGTGGGTTTCGCGTGAACGGCTCGAAAGCACTTATTGCCTCGTACACTTAATAACTTACATCCCGGAACTCGCTGATGAAGGTCCATCCAGGAAACTTCGCCCTATTCTGTAGCGTGTGACTGATAATTAACACACCGGAATTATTTGTGTTTGAAATAGCTGAAGGTTCACGATGTGGCGAAGGGGGAATTTTTGAAACATCTTTCATGGCCCCAATCGAAAAGATCATCTTTCACAAGTCCTCAGGAGAAAATCCAATCCTACCTTCAGTTTAGCATAATGAGGTATAGGAGATCTTGAATGTGTAGAGAAAACTTCATTCCCTTATACCTCAATAAATGAAATGATAAGGACTGATATCCCGGACTTCCCCACGGAACCCATAAGATGTGATCCACACTCTGACGAGTGATGTAATCATTACAGTCAGAGGTAGGTCAACGCATGTACGAGAGAGATAGCAACACACAGTATATAAGGAATTTTTCGTATTTGCACGACATCCCTATCACTTTCTGATGGAAGCGTTTTTACTCACGGAGGAGGAGCGCAATTTTCCTCCTTCATGACGGAGTAAATTTGTTCCTTTCCGAGAGTGAAAGGGGGGGTGAAACTGGAGTTAGCTACTTTACTCTCTTTTTTTTTTTTTAGAAAAATCGCTCCCCATTTTTTAAGAGTGTACGTGAAGGACCACCGACACTTCCATGGCTGACTCGGAGCACACCACAGATCCGGGAAACTGACTGAAGGAAACCTGAGCTCCTGAACATCTTTTCCCATCGCTCCCTCAAGACGCCTGACGTTCGAGTAACCGACGATTACAAATATTAGTTTTCCCTCTCCCTTTCAACACTGCCTGAGCTTGTCCTGCCGACATCATACCCTTTCCGACCCCGCCCTCCGTTCCCTCATCCAAGCTGACCTCCCTCAACCAGAGAAACTTGTTTTCGGTCTTAATGACTACCTCCTGGGATCGCTTAACCTTCGCTGCCTTTACGACCTCAGCTCAATTACTAGCCACCTGGGAGTCGGCACTCGACGAGCTGTCAAAGGACGAAAGAGCCACCCTTCCAGTAAAGTCCGGAAGGCTGGGGAACCCCCGGAGCGCCTCCTCTGCCCTAACTAACCTCGTCACTAAAACATCCCACTATATCTCGCCCACCTCCTTCATAACCCCTCTTATCTGCTTCTCCACGCTAATGAGCCTCCCCAATAGCTCCCCTATTCGTTCCTCCAACATACAAACTCTGCATACCTGGCATACCTCGGGTTCACTGTCCCACCTACCCAATCCCCGCACCGAACGCAGCAACACGCAGCATATTTATTATGAGGCAAACGGAGAGAGACTTAGGTGTTTCTATAGATGAGGACCTCAAGTTTTCCTCGCACGCGCAAGCGACGGTGGCCAAATGNTGCAGATACGTTTCAGGATTTATGTTGCTGCAATGTTGATTAAAAACTTTGCTTCACGGGCACCTAATCTGGGCCTATATTGGCATTACGGAAAAGCGTAGGCTTCACTGGTCCTGAACTGGACCGATATTCGACCAATATTGAATTATTCATTTCATCCTTTCGTACCATATATTTATACTTTACCTCTCTACTCAGGCATTCTCATCAACAGGACGAAGCCTGAACTGGTTTTACCCTCTACCCATGCATAATACAGTATCTGTATCATGTACAGGCAGGAGACAGTACATTTTTGGAGGTGTTCTTCCCCTGATGTGCTAAATTGCATAATACAGAGAAAGGTCCGACCGCAATGTTCTATGGAGTGTCCACGAGATCAATCCTTCGTTTCCTCAGCTAGTACCCAGAAAGAGGATATGAAATAATGAGATCGCAGACTCTCCACCAACGTTTTTATTGTCCTACAAGATGAATTCGGCGAGTTCTTGGAAAGATTTCTTTTTGGGAATATGAGCTTTTTTTATCTTAACCCCATTAATCTGTCTGGAAAATGAGGATAACAGGTGATGGAGTGTCTGTGTTCATCGATTCCCATAATGAGACAATGTGAGACATATGGCAAGGGAATAGACATTCCTGTGCGGGACTATTCCAGGGAAAGGGAGAAGGGCACTTTTGTGTACTGTGAGAAAGCGAAACTTACGTCTCCATTCCATGGCAAGGAGGACAACTTTACAATTCTCTAAAACTTCTAAGTCCATGTTGTATCGGAATGTTGTCGCTACGTTGTCGTAGTGGAGTCGACTGCATATTCAGATAATTGTCGCATTTTGAAGTTCCACAGAACCTCTAATGCAACTCGCATTAGAATGTTGTCACTTCGCTTTCAATGTCAACAGCGTCAACGTTACATAAATGTTAACAAATGTTGCAATAACATTCGTGGATGTGCAACAGCAATATTTCAAAAGAAAACGTTGACGCAATGTTTTACCAATGTTGTACATCAACATGCAACATAGGCAACATAGGCAACATTTCGGAAACGTTTCATCAACATACTGTGTTACTTGGGTGAGACTGTACTGTCCTAGTTCTTGTAGTGAAAGGAATTATAAGAGTAATGCGCTAATATTTAAAGTAATTAAGCTGTTTAATATTGATATAATATGAAGTTGGAGGTAGCTACCCATCGAACAAAAAAACAAATTCAAGAAACGGGCATAGGGAAACATGATTTAAAAAATGGAATGAACTGCCCTTCCCCCCCCCTCGGGATCCACCAGATGAACTTGTTCTCAATAGTCGTCCCAGACCAATCCAGTCAATCCCCGTTTGTCTCTTCTAATGCGAGGCTTTCATATAGCCAAGCATTTTCTCGAGTCCAGATAGCATTCCTCGAAGTGGTGAAGCGCTTCGCCATCCAATATGGTCAAGTTCTTCGTATCATCGGAAGGTTCCGAGTCAAATGCTGGAAGGAAAGCATCGCTGATCTCAGACGTAGGATATTAATTATCGGCCTTGCCTAAATGAAAGGACACCTTTCCGAGGTTGGCACATTGTGAACCTACAAAATTATAAATAAAAAAATTAAGCACAAACGTAATCACTTTACGGACATCCTGCACCTTTCATTGGCCTGCCAGGTGCAGGATCTTAACAACCTCGCCATAAACTACATGATCATGTGACCCAAATTACTTGGCTACTTGACGTCACTTTTGCACGTGCACTCAGTCCATTCCTATTTGTGCGTGACGTGGATGGATGAATACTCGAAAGCATTTGGTGCCACATGCACTGAATGACTTGCAAACGTTCACCTAAACTTGAGCAAGATGGGTAGTGCACAAACCGAAAAAAATGCACTTTTGAAGATAGACCATATTATCTTTCATGGTGGACCGAACTTGTCGGTATGTAGGTTACCACGCTTGTTTTCCCTTTAGAATACGTTGCCAACATGGCTTCAGATCGTCGGAAACCCCACCGAGTGCAAATGTAAATATCTGAAATAGATACTGTTTTCCCTAGAATAAAGATTAATATTTTTTCCTGAGCGCTTATGACCCTGTCGCCGAACATGCCACGACACTCGTGTCGAAGCCAGAAGCGCAGGTTCCGCACCTGTCGATTGGCGTGTCCTCCACGACAATGCGTCAAGCGCTAGGGATGACTCAGAAATGGGAAATGGCACCGCCCACATCCCAAATTCTCTATATATCTTCACAGCTTTACAGACAAAATGCATTCGTAACCTCCTGTTTGCCCGACCAAGTAACTCCATAACGCGTGGAGTCAGTCGAGCTCGTCGAAAACTCATCCATCATGGTAAGTTCCACAACCCTGATTGCCGTTCCTCGTTCAGACTAGAGTCCTATTTCTGGTATTCTCTTCCTTTAGTTGCTTCCGATTATGGTGGTACTATTTGGGGTTAGTCAGGTGAACGGAAATTACGATTATGCTTCGGTGATACGGCTCAGCTACAAGTTCTACGAAGCCCAAAGAGCAGGGGAGTTACCCGACGACGATATCCCGTGGAGAAAGAGTTCTTTCCTCGATGACGGAAGCGACAATGGAATCGACTTGGTCGGTGGATATTTTGACGGTAACAAGTGTCTCGCGCCATCTCATGGGTTTTGAATCGCGTTAAAACTAAGATAGTTCAATGAATGACTCCAATGACTCTACAGCTGGAGACTACGTGAAATTCGGTTTCCCGATGGCATTTACGACCACCGTCCTGGCCTGGGGGATGATCGAATACGCGAATGCCTACGACAGTGCTGGCCTCTCCGAGGAAGGGAGGGAGCAACTTCGATGGGCCACTGATTACTTCATCAAGGTACCTTCGAACATTTCACAACGTTAATTTTGCTATTGCTTTGGTGCTCCAAATATTCAGGGTGGTTGTAATGTCACTGTTCATGCGAAAAATACGTATCTTTTCCTCCAACATTGATAGAAACATTGTTTTCATGGCAATTGAAAGCAAATTTCAATGAATATTTTTTTAGACGTTTGATGATGGGATTGTTTGATGGCCTAGGAGTCGAATCTTACTAGCCGCGCCAAAATTGAAGCGTGGTTTAAGGGTTTGGGTCCATGGTTTAGGTTCAGAGATGGTACCACAATGGAAAATCCTAAGTACGAAACCCTTAACAAGAGAATTAAAAACATGGCAAAATCTTGAACACTGCCTCTATATAGATAACAGAGACGATATAAGTTCCATGAAAATCATTTTGAATGACTCGGATAAAAAGTTTAAATCCTCATTGAAACAAAAATCATTAGTTTCACCATAAACCTTCGGTCCACATATTATTTTCCAAGCAGTTGTCATTAACTTGTTATTATTATTATTATTATTATGTGTAGTATTCCACGGCCTTTTTCGCCGGATGTGTCAGATGTAAGGAGGGCTAGACCTCAGCCCAAAGCCTTGCATCCCTATTGTCTTTCGAGAATTCATCGGAGGAGATGAGCTGTGCCAAGGATTGCGCTTTTTTGTATGATAGTCGGGTTCAGTGATGGTGCATTTAACTTCTTCAGATGGCACTGGAAATTCTTGAGAACCACTCCTGTTGCTCCGACAATGACGGGGACGATGTTGGTCTTGGTGCCCCACATTCGTTCCACTTCGATTCTGAGATCCGTGTACTTTTCCATTTTCTCCCTGTTTTTCTGTTAGAGATTGGAATCCGCAGGGACACTGATCTCCATTAATTTGGTGGTCTTCGTATATTTATCGACTGCTACAATGTCAGGTTTATTGGCCCTGATCGTCCGGTCTGTCTGGATTGAAACATTCCATAGCAATTTAACTTTCTCGTTTTCTCGAACGGCGGCTGGCCGATGCTGGTACCAACGTTCGGGGGCAGGCATTCCCTTGTCCTTCCAGAGGCACCAGTGGACATACCTGCCCACATTGTCATGACGTTCTATTTAGGTGTTTGCAGCTGGCGCTGGACACCCACTCACAATGTGGTGTATCGTCTCTGTGTGTTGCTGACAGGCTCGACAGGTATCATTCACTTCCTTTCCCATGACATGACGTTCATAATACCTAGTCCTGATGGTTTGGTCTCGTACGGCGAAGATGGTTCCTTCCGTTTCCCCTTTCAGACCGGCTCTACTAAGTTCTTGTGTACGCCACTTTTGCATGCTGACCATGCAGAGGTTTATCATGCCAACGTTGGAGGAAAGTAACTCGTTGGGTTTTCTTGACGTCTTCAGGGTCGGTGGGAGAGCTGGCTTTAACAAAACGGCGGGTTTCACCCAGCATCGTTCTTAAGTGACCCTTCTTCTCATCTACGAAGCTCTATTATTATTATTGTAATTCTTATTATTCTCCTTTCAATCCTTTCAATCAAGGGTCACGTACGTCTTATTTTCACATTTCATACCATCTCTAAACCGAAACCATAGACCCGCAAAGCTGAAACCGCTATACAATTTTTGTGCAGCTACTAACAGTAACCTACCACGCGTGCTTATCAAACAATGGAAACGCCAATCGTCGAGAAGAATGTTATAATAAAGGCTTTCAAATATCGCTGGAATGCGAATTTTGCATTATCATAACCAACTATATGAATGAAAAAGTATTCATGACATCATGATCATCCTGTGTTATGATCGCATCACAGGCTCATCCATCGGAAAAGAAGTTCTTCGGTCAAGTCGGGAATGGAGAAATCGATCATTCGTATTGGGGTCGACCCGAGGATTGGCCCTCCACCGAGGAGAGACCATCCTACTTCATCGACGAAAGTTCTCCAGGTGAAATATTTGTGTATGGCCTATGAGATATCCCGGAAACATGTTTGGTTGTCGATGTCGCTTTTCCCCCCTCCATGAACATAGGATCGGACTTGGCTGCGGAAACGGCTGCAGCCATGGCGGCCAGTTCCATGGTGTTCAGGGGAAGCGATGACACCTATGCGGACACTCTACTTTCGCATGCCAGGGAACTCTATGCCTTTGCCGACGAGAATAGAGGCATCTACTCCGACGCCATCACCGATGCCAGCGAATTCTATGGGTATGGAGGTTGCGTTCGATCGCAGGAAACGCTTGGGGTCGGGAAGATGTGGGGAATTCTGGGCGTTTCAGGTCGAGCGGATACGAGGACGAACTGACGTGGGCGGCGGCATGGCTTTATCGTGCGACAGGAGAAACGTCTTACTTGAATGATGCAGAGTCGAAGTACGTGGAGTTTGGGCAGGACGGCCAGCCGTCGGAGTTCTCTTGGGACGACAAGAATGCTGGCGTTCAAGTACGTGCGTTTCCGGGATTGTCTCGGTTTGACTCTGATCTATCCATGAAGGGGAAATTTTCACGATGCTAACACTTGGTAGCGGTTACGAAAGGTAACAATAAGCACAGCGAATGATTTCCAACAATAAATACTGAGTTTTCCTATACTGGGACAGCCTATAACCAGGTTCATGCAAATGCAAACCTCATCCAAGTGTAACAATCCTAACCTTCCACCTTCAAAGTAATCGTTTTTTGCGAGTTGTGAAGGAAATATCTGAAGTCCGGAAAAAATCATCCGTGATCTCATTCTAAAAAAGGGGTAAAATAGAGCAAAGTGAGTGCTTTTTAAGTTGCTTGAGGGCCCTGAATAGGTACTTCTGGCGGAGATAACAGGAAACGAGAAATACAGTGTGGCAGTGGAAGCCTTCTGCAACTACGTGATTAATGAGGCTCCCAGGACTCCGAAAGGTCTCGTCTTCATTCAGGATTGGGGTTCACTTCCTAACGCAGCTAATGTCGTATTCATCTGTCTCTTGGTGAGTCTGAGTACAAAGCATTCGTTGGAATGTTTGCGCACGTGTGTGTATGGGTGTCGATGTGTGTGGGGATGAGGAGGGATTACGGGAATAGTCTTAGAGAAGGAACACAACAAGTCACTCTGATTCATGAATACTATCAGTTTAACAGGTATAACAACTGGGGATTGCAATCGAAATGGATTTTATAATGTTTAAATATGGATCAAAATTACTTACTATATGGAGGGAAATTCTCCTCATTAAGCTGACTTCCCTATTTAATACAAATGAAGTCTAAGGATATAACAAGGATTAAAATTAAGATGCTGTATTACCCTTGAATTACTGGCATGGGATGTTTGTTTCTAAAGATTATTTTTATTTTCGAATTTTAGGGGGAATTGGGCAAGGCTGTGAATTTGAAATCTCGAACAGTTCCCTTATCCCAACTTCCCTCCATTGTTTGAGAAAGCATTTTCGAAAGACCGACCATACGATCACAGTTCTGCCCACGATCTCGTTCTTTCTTCTTGCTCCAGTTCCTATGCATTGCACTACGCCGCACACGGCTTGATTGTGTTGGATCATTACTGAACATTTGTAGGTCTACTGGTGTCCTTCCTGAGAGAACTGGCTCGTCTGCCATGGTTAGATTAGATGTCCCATCTACAAAGACTCTTTCAAGAATGCTCTGAACTTGAGGAGCCCAGCTCATGGCAGCTCATTCATATAGTCCTATACTTTCCTATGATCATCGCAGTGTCGACTCAAGTACTTTACTAATGAAGGTGTCTCCAGGTTTAACTTACCTTAGTATTATGGGAATTTCGGGCATGAATTTAATCGAGCTTACTTTCCTGTGAAACATCAAGACCAGTTTGTTTTCTATTATTTACATAGTGGACGAAGTTCAACATGAAGTTGGCAGCGGGTAACTTGATATTTCCGCTATTTCCCCCGAATTTTGATGAAGTTGTGAAGAGATTCGGTCAAATTGGCCAAAATTATGCTAAAATCCACTTTATTTATATTTTGTCTGCTAGGGGGCAGACAAGTTGGGGCTAAACCAGGAGGCATACCGAAACTTTGCCACGCAGCAGATCGATTACATATTGGGAGACACCGGTTTCAGTTACGTCATTGGATTCGGGACAAATTATCCTCTACACCCTCACCATGCTTCAAGGTAAACGTCGTCGACTCAGTTTGTGACGTACTAATCTCAGTTATGAGAGGATGCTTACAACATTAGATTAGTAACAGTGCAACATTAGCAACAGTAAGATTCCTAGTGAATACCACTGTGTGGTGAATTCATATTATTCGTTTCTTTTCCGTGTCTTCCGGTGCAGTTCTTGTCCGACCGTGGATGAATGCGGAGGATGTGAATGCGATTGGAGTTATTTTGAGACGCCGAATCCGAATCCTCAGATCCTCGAAGGGGCTCTCATCGGCGGGCCCGACATCAATGACGATTTCCAGGACGATCGTTCCGATTTCAACCAGAATGAGGTTGCCCTCGATTATAATGCAGCCTTCCAAGGAGCTCTTGCCGGCCTCATCGTTTCTAGCCAATGATGAAAGGCTTCCGAGAAGAAATAAAAGAATAAAAGGATTTTGTCCTAGTTGCTGACTATATTTCTCCAATAATGAATGGGACATTTTTAAGAGGTCTCGCTTGTCCCTCTCTGGGAATCGTTATCAGGTTCCACTGGTTATACCAAGGACACTTTTGGAAAAGGGTGAGTGATTTGCGAGAAACGGAGCGAAACTGGAGTAAGCGATTTTACTCCCTATAAACAAGGAAGTAATGCCGCTCACCTCTCTTTTTCCTAAGGATTACAAGTAACGTTCTCTACTAGATTAAAAAGTACTTTCCCTCATTCGTTTCGCATTAAATAAGCTATCTATTTTACTCATACAAAGGAGTAGTTTTCAAATGCATTTCCTCGTTTTTGGAAGTAATATTGTAAACTTCAGTTTCCCTCCTTTTCTCGCAAAATCGCTCACTCTTCACAGAGTGAAAGATGCTTCAGCTGTGGAGTGACTCAGTTTCTCTGTCTCTTGCATGGGTAGCCAGAATCCTTGGAATGCCCTCACTTATCCGTTTCCCACATTTCCCCTCCTCATCCCCCTCCCCTGAGACCAGAATTAAGTTCTTCCGGCTAAAGACTGCTATTTGGCAAAATCGAAGGCAGGGATCATTTCGAAATAGGTTGAGTTTAATGGAAGAATATGTTGCAAACACCTATAAAGCTCAAGCAATGCTCTTTCTCTTTGCTGCCTTGATACTACTTGAAATTTTGCCACTTGATTCCTTTCCTTTTTCGTGATTCAACCGCATAGATTTTGCAATTATTATTTGGTGCTTGGCGCACACACTCTTATTGACCTTTATACATTTAATAAATATCGTTAGCCTACAGAATGATAGCTACCCAAAAATTACAGCTTTGTCTTTTTTTTGAACTGCTATATGCATTAACGTAGCGAAAGTCTCGAAATACCTGTAGGAGTCTGTCTTGCAAATGACGTGTTTCTCGAAGTAAAAGATACCGGATGATGGTAGATCACTCGCCAAATGCCCAAGGAAAGAGCGGAGCGTGCTGTGCGATAGAAGGTGCCACTTTCCACTACTCTTCCCTCTCAATCCACCTTCATGTCGGTCTGTTTCGTGAGAGACTAATAGAAAGGACACCTCGAAGATGAAGTCTTAGAATGGAATCTAAGGTACAAAGGGAAGATGAAAATCGACCCCCTTAGAATCAAATTCTGGCTTATAATTATTGTAAAGAACCCCAAGGGAGGGCCTTGGAGACACTTTTTGGCACTCTCAGGTCAAGGAACTGATCGTGGCGAATGATCAAAGGTCAGGATTTGCATGCCATTCTTTGAAAAACTGTATCTCCTGTACCCGTGGTAACCGTAACCTGTAACCGTGGCAGAAATGTCAAATTTGCACCATTCTCCTCGCCACAGAACATGTTAAATTATGAGTCCAAAAATGTGCTCATCTTTCTGCTCCCCGAGACTCCGTGTCGCCTTTTGTGCAAGTTCGCGTTTTGCGATTCGCTTTTTCACTCGCTCATTCTGCGTAGAAACATAGCACCGGAAAAAGCATACTCCAATTTTTGGAGACCAACCTCGTCCGTCTTCGTGTCAAAGGGCACAATGACTCATCGATCAATTTCCCAGGAAGGATATAACTCGAAATCCCTCTATTTTTCCTTATTACCCCAGATTCATGGTTATTTCTCGAGAACAAGAGCGAATTTAAAAAAATTAACACTCAAATTTGTGGGGAAGCCTCTTGGGAAGCTTCAGAACCATTTTCAAGAGAATCCGTTCATCCCCCTCAGATCCTTGACGATTTTACTCAACCATAATTTGAAATTTCCGGCATGTCAGCTATATTATGTGCTGTTTCTCCTCTCTAGGCATGAGGATCCCCATATAAGTTATTATAAAAAGTAGGGATATGTATAAGGATTTGATTGACAGCATGATTATAAATTTCATTCCAGTCATTAAGAGATAATAATATTTAAAACAGAATCGGTAGGAAAATTTACGCCGAGCCAGCCGACTGTTCCGCATCCTGCAGAGAGGCCAACGCGCCCTTCTCCCCATCCCCCCCTCCACCCTCGTCCCGTGGATGTAATCCCAGACCGGCTTGAATCCGATCTTGGTGAAGCCTTCCAGCCGGATCTCCCTCTGGGTCGGGTCCTAGAAGTCGGTGGGGAACATCTGGCGGAAGTAGGGGGAGACGGAGGCATGGATCCCCTTGCAGGAATAGAACTTGATCTTGGATGGCGACGTCGCACCCATCCCTTCTTGAAACACTTGGAAATGACCGTCGCAAGGCCATTGTGATCATCCAAGTCTCTGTCGATCGCAACTACTCTATCATTTCGCTTCGCGGTTGTCATTTCTCCGGTCGCAATGAAGTTCTTCTAACAAGAGATGCCGGTAACATGGACCGGGGACTTAACAAGACGGGATCTGGGACATACTAGAGATTATACAGGGTGGCGCACGAAAAACCGGCCCGTCTCCGACCGCCTACCACGAGCGTGTACACAAATTCCGTCACGACCGACTCCTCCTGGTTGCGACGATGTCTGCCTGGCTATTCCAAAGTCTGTGTCAGTCGATTAAACAAATGCATTTGCTTTTGTTTAATTTACTGTACGGAGTCCGAGACCTACGCCCACGATGGCCTACGGGGCGGGCCGGTTTTTCGTGCGCCACCCTGTAGCTCCTTCGGATGAAACACAGCATGTATTGAGAATCTACCAAACTATGGACGGGAGTTTCCATGCAAACACGAGAAGAAAATGCATGAAGAGAAGTTTATGAGATATGATTATCTCGTCCCCATAGGAGCAAGTTTTGTTACAATGCTTGACTTGAAAGAAAGGTCGAAGGTCACGCATCAGGAGAAAGAAGGACTGGGATAGATTTTCATATTACACTTTTTCTCCGATACGAACTTAAAAATAATGACGCACCTGAACACAAGGAAGCCATATTTTACATGTTTTGTAGTCTATCTCCTAGCATAATTTCTGTAAACTAGGCAATGATCTACCTCAAATCGCATTTTGGTTTGCACAGTTAAAAAAAGCAACCAACCAGAGTTACAAGGGAGGAAGGATTAATACAATATTAAAATGGCAATTTAAATATATCTACAGACTTGGCCAAAAAAATGTCAACTCCGATTTTTGTTGTCAAAACCATAATTTCGAATGGATTGACTTGAAAATTCAAATGAACGTTTTCTAAAATGTCATCAAAAGTTGTTATAGTTTCATGCTCCTCTCTTGAATTATAGCAGATTTTGTTGAAATTGTCAACATTCTGGCCAAACAGCCACGTGACTCCTGCTGCTGGTCGGTAATCCATTTTTGCATTGGAATACCTGAAAACTTATGGACATGTATGATATCTTCAGCTGGGAATCAGAACACATTTGACAACATCCTGACACCTGCCTGTGAGATGTGAGGTTTTGGCTCTTGGCAACCCCATCCAAATGAGTATTTATGGATAGCACATACTTCCACCGTCCTGGCCTGGGGAATGATCGAAAACGCGAATGCCTACAACAAAGCCAGACTTCCGGCGGCAGGGAGAGCTCAATTGCGATGGGCCACCGATAATTTCATCAAGGTACTTCCGAGAATTTTCAAAGACGAATTCATAAATCGAGTTTCTTGTCCAAACGTATCATGACATTATTTCAGGCTCACCTTGGCTCACGTGGTTAGTTAGGAAATGCGCGAAACGTAATGCGTTTCAATGAAAAGTTGAGCGTATCATATCTGATAAGGTTAGGGAATGTGGGAATAAGTAGCTCCTAAGCATGAATGGAACCAGTTGCACTTAAGTCAAGAATGGTGAGTCCGGTCGGGAGTAATTTCATTTCATTTGAATATTGAGAGTAATCCCTTTCGAGTAGAAAATAAAACTTTCTGATGAGATTAAATCGTCCGTTCACAGAGAAATGACCACAATAACGAATGACTGACTGCGGCGGTTATTTACTGATGAATTTCCTCAGTGTATACTTTTTTACCTGCATTAAAGTACATCTGGAAAAAATCCTTTTTTCCCATTAAATTTCTTAGAATACATGTATGAGTGACAATAGACATAATTTGCAATGTTCAAGGCCAATGCAAATCATTTTCACACAGAGATTTAGCTGCGCGAGAAGTTCAACATATTGAGGAATGGTATTTTCATGTCCTGATGTCTTTCTCCCGCTCTGTTGCCTCGGGTCGAAAATTAGTGAAGTGACAGTGTTGCAAATGTGGTAGCAAACGTGTGCCGTCCGGCTGGCTAGAAATTCCTGATGGAAATGAAAGCGAAAATATTCATATTCTAAAAAGATCGGTTTAGAATTAATTTGTCATAATGAAGTGGAGTCGCAGCAGGTCAATGAGAACCTTCACATAACTATGAAAACAAAAAAGAAATATTTCAAATATTCCAAGGAGGATCACGATCTAGTTTCGAGAATGAACCCTGCATATTATATGGGAATATGTGTACATCTGCTTTTGCGTTATTATCTAGAAGAGCCATTACGTTCGATGCAAGGCATTGAGTGTTTTCCACATCCCAAACAGCACGCCAACACCAAAAAAGAAATGGGTTTCGCGCACCTGGTACAAATTACGTCACGAAGCCAGCTAATTTGTGTTGCAGTTACTCGTAGTGTATGGCGAGGATGAGAAGATCCTGCAGGTGGCTGGCCACCGAAGCAATGCACGCTGGGGTGAGCACCCCTCATGTGGGAAGAGTTTCGAATGCACTGAACATTTTTGAAAGTTTTCAGACGTAATGAGACGATGCCAATATTGAGGTCGGGCTCGTCGGTGACCTCGCCACTGCCAAAGACGGAGTTGATCAGTCTTGAACTTTCGCACACACATTCGTACCAGTGTGCCGATATCGGATTAACGATTACATTCCCCAACCTTGAAACTGGAATCGTTTATCCGATCACGGCACACACGTTCGTACCAGTGTACAGTTTCAAGGTTGTGGAATGAAGATTCACGGTGGTG